AGTACTTGTTGAAAAAGTAAACTCAGTATCGTTCTTTAATTCCATAATAATAAAATGAAATTTTATTTTCTGATGGCTTTTTCTTGGGAACTTTATTTTCACCATCTTCACATTGTCCTTTGTGCCTAGCACTCAAATATTTGTGGAAGTGATGATGCATGAAGTAATGTAGAACGTATGCTTCCCATCAGAACATAAGCTTCATATGGGCAGGAATTTTTGTCTGTTTTGTTCACTGCTTTATTCCCAATTTCTAGAAGAGTACCTGGCACACAGTTCAGCAAATGTCTGCTGAAGGACCAACCGAATGAATAGTTAAACTGTGACTAAAGATTACTCTTTTTACAGTAATTTTATTGACAGTAAAAATGTAAATTAATACCAAAATTTAGCAGATACGTTATTTTTCTATTCACTCATTAGTATTGCACTTAAAACTTTTCAGGATTATATAGTCTCTGATAATTATAGTAGTAAATTGGATTCTGAGTTATTTAATAATTTAATGATTAGCAAGTAGATTGGATACTAAGATAATTTCCTCCTAAGCTAATTCTTCCACTAGTGTTTTCATTAGTTTTGAGTTATGAGTATAATTTTAAATAAAAATATTAAGTGATACCTTAAATGGTTATATCATTTGCAGCAGAATTGATTTAGATGTTTTGGTGGAAATTTTAAGACATGGTTTCAGATTCCCTGGGTTATGAAGTTTTATAAAAAGCGTTGATACACACGCTCCTAAAGAGTTTGATGTAAGCTGTCAAGCCTTTGTATAAGTGGCTATAGCTGTCCTTACAAGTAGTGAAGCCCAAATGGCCAGTCCCATTGTGAATGTCACCCCAGTACCCCTGTTTGATACTACCATTACAAACACCTTCCTTCTCCACTTAAATCAGTTCATTGTGATCATATAAGGAATCTGACATTACTTAGTCATGACCAGCTATAAAGAATAACAGTAATAATGATAAGAAAAGGGAGTAGGATGGGGGGGGAGGAAAGGAAGGAAAAAAGGAAAGAAGGAAGAGTAGAATAGAATATCAGGTATGTTGCTGGGAGTCGTTACTAAAGTAAAATACCAGGGGACTTGTTTGCAGTTTTTTATTTAAAGTAATTAAAATTTTCTGTTAATTGTTCTGGTTCTTTTTGCCGTGTAGTAAATTGGCCCCAAATTTAGGGGCTTAAAACAACCATTTTCTTATGTTCAAAGATTCGTGGGTGGGGAATTTTGACAGAGCACAGTGAGAATGGTTTATCTCTGGTTCATGATGTCTGAAAGTTTCAAGTGGGGATAAAGTAGCAGCTAGGGGTTTTATTCAGCTGGAGAAGTCTTCACCCTCAAATCTGTTGTTTCCTATGGGCTGGATGATGTAGGATAGGACTTGAGCTGGGACTGTAGTCCCACCTTACCTCTCCATGTGGTCTGGGGTCCCTCTCAGCATCAAGGCTTCAGAGTAATTGGACTTAGATGGTGGCTCATGGCTCCGAAAGCCCGTCAGTGTCCCTAGGAACAGGCAGTGTCATTTCTGCCACATTCTGTTGGTTACAAGTGAGTTCAAAGCCTAACAGATACAAAGGGATGGGACATAATTATCTATTATTGGAAAGAATGTTAAAGAATTTGTGTCTTCATCTCTCTCTCTCTCTCTTTTGCAATCATGACATTAGTACTTGGTGATTAGTACAGAAGGATTTATGATAAAAAGCAAGGCTCCTGCCCCAGTTATCCATATTTCCAGTACTCAGGTACAACTTCTTCTAACCCTGTTTTTGGTACTTCTGGTAGTTTGATCTGTTAATCTAGATAAAATGCTATGCTCTATTTCTTGATATTTAAACTTCAGATACCTGTTGACTTCCTGCTCTGAAAGATGAGTATTTAGCTCATTAATACTGCTCCCTGTTCATTTCCTTCACCTTTTGTTAGCTAGGACTATTTTTATTTCATATAATAACTTAAGATAATTTATCCTTAAACATCAGTTTTTTGTTCTTTCATTTTTGGCAGTATCTCTTGATTCCCCATTTAATAAGAGAAGGGTATTTTATCCCCCTATCCTTTGTACTCCTTTTAACATTACAACTTTTATCGTCTACTTTGTTAAAGTTGTTAAACATTTGCATTTTGTTCTGCAACCACAACTGTACATCCAGTGTTATAACTCCATGAGGTCAGAGGATTCTTTCTTTCTTAAATACGGACATCTGGATTCTCATTTCTTACTCTGCATCACTTTTTAAAAATTGTACTCTATTTTAGTGCACTTCTTATTTAGACCATGACGTTTTCATGCTGTTTTGTTTTTCCTGGAGTTTACAATTGCCTTTCTATTTTTTCATGCACTGTTTGCCTTTATCACAGCCTAAACTTTTTTTCCAAACACTATCATACCACCCATTTCTGTTGAATTGCCCATTTCCTGAGGTTTCTCTGAAGTTTTGGTTTACTCTTGACTGGTTATTTACTGGGCCTGATGAACAGTTCTCTTCCTGAGACTTTTTCACTGCTCCTTGGGTTAGAGCCACTTATTCCTGCATCCTGGCCTTTCCTCTTTTGTGGTTCACACCCTTGTTTTGCTAGTATATGTTTGCAAGTAACTTCCTAAGAAATTGTGTATGGAAGATAAGCTTTCTGAATCCTCACCAATTTGGAAACATTTTTATTGTTCCTCACATTTGATTATAGTTTGACTGTTTTTAGAAGTCTAGGATGAAAAATTTTACCACTGAACTTGAAAGCCATTGTTCTCTCTATGTTCGTTGTTGCCAGTGAGAAATCATCTGCCAATATGATTTTCTAATTAGTTTTTAGTAACTTTTCTGTGTGGGAACTACTAGGATGTGTTCTTCAGAAATATGTGTCTATGTGTGGTCCTTTTTAAAATTAAATTTGCTGGGGGTGCCTGGGTGGCACTTCAGGTTGAGCGTTCCACTCCTGGTTTTGGCTCTGGTCATGGTCTCAGGATCATAGGATCAAAGCCTGCATTGGGCTCCACACTCAGTGGGGAGTCTGGGAGTCTGCTTAGGATTCTCTCTCCCTCTCCCACTCCCACTTGTGCTCGCTCTCTAAGATGAATAAATAAGTCTTTAAAAATTAATTAATTAATTAATTAAACTTACTGGGCATTCCAGGAGATCTGTATGCAGGTTTATTTCATTTTACTTTTAAAAATTACTTCTTTATTTGTTCTATTCTTTCTTTCTGAGGTTCTCCTGCTAGTCAGATATTTGATCTTTTAGTTGGGACCTTGAAGTCTCTTAAAGTTCAGTTTTACAAATTGGATCTCTATGTGTGTCTTGCCTTCTTTTCCTCTATTTTCTAACTATTCTGTTTGCTTTGGTTTTGTTTTGCTCTATATTCTAAAGAAATTTTCTCTATTATTTTCCCAACTGTTTATTGAATTTACTCTTGGCAATTATATTTTAACCTCAAAGTATTTTTGTTGTTGTTATTCTCGGCTTGCTTTTTTTTTTTTTTTTAAAGCATTTTGTTCTGGTTTTATGGGTGTAATATGTCCTTGAATAGCTCTCAATGTTTAAAAACTTCTCCATATTATCTTTGTTTTAGTAAATGTTTAGTTTTTTTGTTGTTGTTGTTAAAGATTTTATTTTATTTATTTGACAGAGAGAGACACAGTGAGAGAGGGAACACAAGCAGGGGGAGTGGGAGAGGGAGAAGCAGGCTTCCCGCCGAGCAGGGAGCCCGATGCGGGGCTCGATCCCAGGACCTGAGCCGAAGGCAGACGCTTAACGACTGAGCCACCCAGGCGCCCCAAATGTTTAGTTTTTAACTTTGTTTTCCTATTGCTGGATTCTTTCAATGCCTGGTGATGTTTGGCTATCCTTTGCTTTTGGAAAAAAAAAAAATCACGTTTATTGAGATGTAGTTTTTATGCAGTAAAAGACATCCGTTTAAGAGTGTATTTTTTGAGTCCTGACAGATTTATATGCCCACATAACCACTGTCAAAATCAAGATCTAAAATAATTCCATTACCCGAAAAGTGCCCTAAGGCCTCTTTGCAGTCAATCTCTTCCCCCCACCTGGACCCCTGGCAATCACTACTTTCTGTCATTATAGATTTTATTTGTCCTTTCTAGGGTTCTATATGCATGGTATCAAACAGCATTGTGTTCTTTTGTATCTGGCTTTCATCACTAATTTTGAAATTCTTTCATGTTTATGATATCAGTAGTTCATTCTTTCCCAGTAAATGGCTTTGACACAATTTGTATATCTGTCCACATGTTGATGGTTATTTGCTTCGAGTTTGGGGCTATTATGAATAATGCTGCTGTAAACATTCATATGCAGGTCTTTGTGTTGATATGACATATGCATTCATTTCATTTGCATAAATACCTAGATGTGGTTTGGTGGCTTGCATGGCAAATGTTGTGTTCAATTTTTAAAGAAATTGCCAAACTTTTCCAAACTGGTTGTACCATTTTACATTTCCACCAGCAATGTGTGAAGATTTCATTTGATTTGCGTTCTGTTCAACACTTGGTATTGTCAGTCTTTTAATTTTAACCATTCCATATAAGGTGTGAACTGAAATTACATTGTGGTTTTAATTTGCATTTACCTGATGACTAATGTTGTTGAACATCTTTTCATTTCTTATTGGCAAGTCTCTTACCTTCCTTTGGGAAATATCTATGCGAATATTTGACCATTATTTAAAATTGGGTTATCTTACTGTATTGTGAAAGTTATTTATATGTTTTGGAAAAGTCTTTTGCCAGATATATGTATTGCAGATATATTCTCCAGGCTTATGGCTAGCCTTTTTCTTTCTTTCTTTTCTTTTTAAACTGATAAGAACAGATACTACACTTGATCTTAGGCAAAACAGACGATTTTAATTTTTTCTAAAGTCTGACTTAATCATTCTTTTCTCTGATGGTTTGTCCTTGTTTTATATCCCATCTAAGAAATCTTTGCTTACCCCAAAGACATATATACATATATTTTTTTCTTATGTTTTCTTCTAGGATTTTACAGTTTTTGCTTTTACGTTAACTCTGTGATACATTCAAGTTAAATCTTTGTGTGTGGCTTGAGGTAAGAGTTCGTTTTTCTCCTTGTAGATACCCAGCTGTCCTAGGACCATTTGTTGAAAAGTCTGTGCTTTCTTCACTTTGGATTACATTGGCAACTTTGTAAAAAATCAGTTGACCATAGACATTTGGGTCTACTTCTGGGCTCTGTTTTGTTCCATTGATTTATATGTCTTTTTGCCACTGCCATGATGTTTTATTTACTGTAGTTTTACAGTAGGTCTTGAAATTAGGTAGTGTAAGTTTTCCAACTTTGCTCTTCTTTTTTAAAATTGTTTTTTGCAATTTTGCCTTTTGAAATTTTGCTAAGAATTTTTACATCTCTGTTTATGAAGGATATTATTCTGTAATTGTCTTTTTTCATGAAGTCTCAGATTTTGGTTTTGAGGTAATGCTGGCCTTATAAAATGAGTTGATAAGTGTTTATAGCTCCTCTGAAAGATTTTGTGTAGCATTAATATTAATTCCTTCTTATACCTTTAATAGAATTTACAGGGAAGTTATCTGGCCCTATTATTTCATTATGGGAAGGTTTTAATTACAGTTTCTATTTCCTTAATGGACATGAGGCCATGTAGGTAGAATTACTTTTTGTAATTTGTATTTTTCAAGGTATGTGTGTATGTAGATTTTTTTAGTTTATTGGCATAAATTCTTTATTCTTTTATCTTTAATGTCTGCAGAATCTATAGTGATGACCCTTCTTTCATTCTTCATATTGGTAATTTGTATGTTTTCCCTTTTTTTTTTCTTAATCATACAGGTAGAATTTTGGCAGTTTTATTGATGATAAATCAGCTTTGGTTAATTTCCTTTGTCATTTGTCTGTTGTCTAGTTTATATTTACTTTTATTTTTATTTCCTTTTCCTACTTACTTTGGGTTTAATTTTCTCTTTTAGCTTCCTGAAATAGAAGCTTAGCTCATTGATTTTAGAATTTTCTTCTTTTCTAACATAAGCATTGATGTTGTTTTATTCTCCTCCCATAAATTTTGGAATATTTTGGTTCCATTTTCATTCAGTTCAAAACACTTTAACTTTATTTTGGCGATCCTTCTTTGATCCATGGGTTACTTAGATTTGTGTTCTTTAATTGCGGAACACGTACAGGACTTTTCCTTTCCTTTCTGTCTAAAATTGTGTTGTGATCAGAGAACAACTCTGTATGATTTTAATCCTTTTTCAATTTATTAAGACTCCTTTTGGTCCATGTAGTTTATCTTGGTACATTTTACATTTGATTCTTTTTAAGATATTTTTCATTTCCCCCCTCATTATGTTCACGTTTTCCTTTAGGCCTTTTAGCATATTTATAATATTTATAATATTTAAAAGAGTTGCTTTTATGTCTTTGGTATTCCATAATCTCGGTCTTTTTTTGGGTCTGTTTCTGTTGACTGAATTTTCTCCTGGTTATGGGCTACATTTTCCTGTATGTCTGCATGTTTAATACTTTTTTATTGGATGCCAAACATTATGAATGTTACATTGTTGACAGCTGGATTTTGTTCTGTTCCTTTAAAGGGTGTTGGACTTTGTTCTGATGGACAGTAAAGTTACTTGTGGTTCAGTTTGATCCTTCAAGGCTTATTTTCAGTTTTTAGTTTTTATTTTTGTTCTTTTTATAGGGAGGGGATCTGGTGTAGGCTTTCTTTAGGGTAGGCTGACTACTAAGGCATTAGCCTTTTGTAGTCTTTTTTTCTCTGGCTGGTGGGAACAAACTAAAAAGATTTCTTGCCCTTTGTGAGCTCTAGGAATCAATCAGTTTACAATTTCCTGGTCGTTGTTCTTTCCTCAGAAGCAGTTTTTGTCTGGTCTTGTGCAGTTCCCTATGTGCAGGTTGATATTCAGGAAAGGACTCAGTAGACCCCCCACTTCCCCATGTAGATTTCTGAAGCTCTTTTTCTGGGTGGCTTTTTGTTCAGTACTCTGTCTTACAAATTTTAGTCACCTCAGCCTCCTTGTCTTCTTAGCTTCTTGATATCTTCCTACTCACCTCAGTGGTACTATAGTCCTGACTTTGGTTCCTCCTCCGTGTGCCTGTGGTCTGGAAATTGCCTCCACACAGAAAGCCGCCAGGGCAGTTTTGGGCTTCCCTCATTGATATCCCTTCTCTCAGGGATCGCCAATCTATACTGCTTAGAGTCTGGTATCTGAAAACAGTTGTTTTATATATTTGTCCAGTTCCTAGTTGTTTGTGGCAGGTAAGTCTGAACCCTCTTGCTCTCTTACTTCCTTGTATATCCATTAATTTTTGTTGTTGTTGTTTTGTTTTTTGTTTTTTATAAAAACTGGGTAGCTATTATGGCTGTTAAATAAGACTTTTTCCTCCCTGCTAGATCTCATTTCTTTATTCTTTTTTTTTTTTTTTTTTTAGATTTTATTCATTTATTTGAGAGAGAGAGAGAGCACAAGCCAGGGGGAGGAGCAGAGGGAGAAGGAGAAGCAGACTCCCCGCTGAGCAGAGAGCCCAATGCAGGGCTCAATCCTGAGACTCCGAGATCATGACCCGAGCTGAAGGCAGACACCTAATTGACTGAGCCACCCAGGTGCCCCAAGATCTCATTTCTGAGTAGAAATTCTGGGAGGCTCATTTGGAGTAGGGATGGAGTATCTTTTATCAGGCTCAGTTGGAGTAGGGGTGAGAGTATCTTTTATCAGGCTTTACTTTTGAGTGAATGGGAAAACTGGCTGTCAGGATGAGGAAGAACCCCCAAATGCCATAACAAGAAGGGTTTTATCCCAACGTCTTTGGTATGGGGATGACAGTGGGGATGCCGACCAGTGCAGTTACCTGGTACAGACCTTCCTTCAGTTGACTCCCCTGCTTTGGCTGCGTTTCTCTCTCCCTTTCTCCATCACACCTGCTGGCTCAGTCCGGCTCCTGCTTCCTCCACAGTGCCCTCATAGCTTGTTCCAGGGCACTGGCCTTCCCTTCAGTAAAAATATTTGAGCATGCCCCTGATAGTCACTGACTTATAAAAATTACCTCTGAAACAATGAATCATGGAACACTACATCTAAAACTAATGATGTAATATATGGTGATTAACATAACAATAAAAAATTTTTAAAAATTACCTCTGTATGCAGATATGTATATATATAAATGCACAAAAGTGATGATTTTGAAATGAAGAAATAAAAAATAGTCCATAATTAAAAGGTATTTTCTTAATGTGGTTCCTGAATTACATGTTCACCCATCTAGAGACCACTATCTTTTTGGTGACTTTCTCTGCCAATTTCCTCGATCAACTTGCTTCTATTTATTTTCAGTCATCCAGAAAATCTACTAAACTCTCAGTTTTTTGATGGCATCTTTCTTTACTTACGGGTTTTATTTCTTTTTCTCTAGCAGTATATTGAGAAAGACTGGAGGCAAATATTTGCAATGGGTCTGCCATTTTTTTTGTCGTTGTTGTTCTTTTTTTTTAGAGAGGGAGTGGGGAGGGGCAGAGGGAGAGAGAGAATCTTAAGCAGGCTCCACGCCCAGCACAGAGCCCTAAGCAGGGCTTGATCCCCCAACCCTGAGATCATGACCTGAGCCGAAATCAAGAGCTGGACACTTAGCGGACTGACCTGCCCAGGCGCCCTGCATCTGCCATTTTGAAGTGGAAGTCCCATCTGATATATTTCTTAAAGTAAAACATTAAATAATTAAAATGTCATTATTTCTTGCAATTCAGTTTGCTTTCCTGAGTGGGAGCAAAAGGATGTCGCTAAAGGTAGTGGCCTGAGAATTGCTTATAACCTGTAGGAGGTTTTATTTATGCAGCAGTCTTCACATTTGGATAGATCAATAGTAGTGTGAGTCAAGGAAGTAGCCCGTACATTTCACCAGGAGCAAAAATAAGTTGAAGAACACATGCTCTGGAGACATATGGAAATCATGTGAGATAGACTTTTCCCCTATTTTTGTGACATTCTTTAATTTTGCGGACAGCCTGGAAAAGAGCTGTATATGTAGAAAGAACATTGTCACCATCTTCCATTTGCCTGTTGGACCTGGTGATCTACAATCATAGTCATTCTCGGTTTTCATACTGTCATTTCTAGGTTTTCATATAGCATCCCAACAGCTGGTGTAAACCCGTAACATGCAGTAATAATTTGACATCATAGTGGAAATGTTAGCCAATTGATTTTTCTTCAGACAAACCAACTGAAAAAATAAGCCCACTATGAATTAATTCTTTGCAGGAATTTCCCATGTCTGATGATTTAAAAGAATAAATTCTGCATGTAAATGAATCATTACAAGCTTAATTGAAGCTTGTTGGATACTCAAGATTACTCACTGTGGTGTGTTTCTGATGGAGACAGGAAGTGAAAAAGCAAGGTCTATGAGATTTTTTTTGTGCATGAAGTCTCAGCCAGTCTTTTTAATGTTTCTCATTGAGGCTTTGTCGCTAGGGTAAATGACTCAAGGTATCTATTGCCGCTTAGCTGTTTTTTAAGGGGGAATTTCCCCCCACGCTCCTCCCTTCCCCAAAATAGCTAATTATATACTGGAAGTTTCAGTACATTGTTCACAGTTTGTGAAGTCAGCATATTTCTGGAAGCTCGCTGTGAATGTAGTTCTTAGCTGTACTGATGCTTTTGTTTCTCCATCTCTGCAGCCAGCACTGTACTGTAAGGACACAATTCTATCGCTATTTTTTCCCTCACATTTGATGTGGTAGTTTGCATACAGCTGCAGAGTAGACAGTTACCTTTGAAAGGAACATTTGGCTGCTCTAATTTGATTAAAGAAAACCACCTCAATCATTTCTAGACTGAGAACGTTTTCATTTTAACTTGGCAGTGGGAGTTGGGAATGTACTCACTGCACTTAGATATGTGGGGGAGCAGCCGGAACAAAACCAACTGCTCGAATGGAGACAGCTTTGGTGCAGTTGTTTTTGTTGTTTTTGTTTTGTTTTGTTTTTTGGTTTTTTTTAAGGCAAGCAGTGTTATATATGATTGATTCTCTTTCTCTCTCCCTCCCAAATTTTCTACAGCCTTGATTTTCACCTCTGTTCCCTTTTCACAGGCTTTTCCTTAGCATTTCCAGTAAGCTGATTGTGGCAGGGGTAGAATGGTACCCTAAAGTGATCTGAAGGACTTGGAGGTCCTCAAAAAATTCTCCCATTTCTATATAAAAAGAAAACCCCAAGTCATAAATGATTATGAGTTGGACATGCTTTCTTGGCCACCGTTGAGTGGCTAAAAAAGGTTTTCGACCATGCATGCACAGACCAAGGTTGGGAATTTAGTTGAAAGTTGCACAGAAGAGAATTGCCTGCCGTCAGAAGCCTGCAGCCCTAGTGCTAGACTATTATTAATTATCTCACATATGTCTCCTTCTGAGATAGAAGAAAGTCCGATCACCCGGTCAGTATGACAGTTGAAATACATTCTGATGATTGTGGGTTGGCATCCACTTTATCCATGTGTTATTGGAAACAGTTGAGCAGGGGCTTAGTCTGTAGGGTAAACCATGAATGAATTCATGAACCACAGTTCAGCAATGTAAGATATGGTGCTCTTGGGAAGGTACTATGGTGGCATCCTAAAAAGTTTGTGAAATTTTAAATAAAAAGTATGAGGGTACACATGGAGTCTTGGAAATACAACCACATTATTATTAATTGAGCCTTGGATATTATTGATAACCTAAGAGTCGAAGTCAAATGTGGGCTCACATTCACATTCTCCCCCATGACAGTATGACTTGACCACATTATACTTCTTACCTGTCTAAGCTTTAGTTTCTTCATTTATAAAATTAGGACACATATTAAATTATGTTTCTGAATTTAGGTTCCTGTTACGTGTTTGACACTTGGCAAATACTTAGTTACCTCACTGCCTCTTCCTCTCCTCCTTGGTATCACCATTCAACTACTTGGAATGTTTTGAGGGAGAGTGGTGTTGTTCATGGAATGTGTGGCCAAACTCAGCAAAGTCCTCTTGAAATTCTGATATTATGTGCAGCTCTCACTCTCTTAGACATAAATTATTAAGGCTAGCAGGACTCTGTCAAGTCCACCTAGCTTTCCTATGGATAATAAGCCCTAGGCAGACATTATATCAGGTACTAGTTAAGATACGAGCACAGTGGATATGGAAATTGTTCAGCAAATGTTAGCTGTTGGATAGAGTTATGTTGTCATCTTAAATTCTTTTCCATCTTGTGTCATCTCTGGGTGCAAAAATCATTTCCACATTTAATCTCAAGGTTTAATGAAGTCACCCTGGTCTGTTCTTCCTTTTGAGAGTTAAGGCCAAGAGGCAATCTTCCTGTTTTGTTTTCACACACAGTCGGGAGAATGTAAATCTTTTTAGTCACGTCTGGGTCATCTAAGTGTACAAAGACTGAAAAGGGACTGAAAGGTAATTGTCCAAAGGCCACGGCTACATCTGGATTTGGCGACCCAAGATTTCCAGTAGATACAGCTTGGTAAATGTAGTTGAATCCCTGGCGAGCTCACAATGCTGATTTGTTCCATAATATAACTGAAAAAATTACCTCAATGCAATAAAATTTTTTGCAGAAAGTAATGCTTGCTGTGTTTGTTTTGTTCAGTTACCAAAATTATAACATTAAACAAGATTTTAAAAGTTAATTACCAGTGATTGAGGAAAAGTTGATTTAATTTGAATACGTTTTGGAGACCTGTAGAGATTCTGCAGAGAAATGCTGAGGACTAATTCTTGATGTCACTTCAAACTTTCTTTTTCCTCAATAAAGTATTACTGTGATATTTCTCATATATAATCGCCTTTTAAAAAACACACTTTTATATAGCCCAGTACTACTGAATACTGTCCATGTCCTGCTGTTAGTGTTCCCAGATTTGTCTTCTTGTGTGGACTCTAATCTGGGTGACAATGTAAACATTCAAATCCAGTGAAATTATTGAATGTGTCTAATGAATTGCGTGGAGCCTGAGACCAAGATTTGGTTTTATTCCGTTTTTTAATAATGAATGTCTAATTCCTTTTTGCCCACGTGGTGGTTGTCTACTTAAGTGCTATTAATAGAGTTATTCTCACAGCTGGGGGGATTGTTATTCCCATTTTATAGATAATGAAACTGACACAGAATTTAAATGTCCTGTTCAAGGTCACCTCGACTCCAGGTGTTATTTCCCACATCTTAGGGTTTTCTGTCTAGTACTACAGGTGTTTTAGTCATGCCGGGATCATTTGGATATGACTGTTTTGGTAATGCCTGTTGGGAATTAAATGCAAATAAACTGGATGCTAGCAAGGGCACACTGATTATTTAAGGAGGAAACTGGCTTCTGTTACCAGGAATTGGGGTATAATCACTTAATTTGACATATTAAATGCCATCTATATTTTAATTTAATTTTTCTAACAATTTGTTTTAATAGTCATACGTAGAGACAAATGCTCATGGAATTGGGACTGTTAAGGGAGGTTGTTAGGGTTCATGCTGCTCTTTAATGTGGTAGCAGTCGGCTTTCCAGGGCCTTGCCTCCCCTAGGCAGTGAGAAAAGGAAGAGCGTGGCAGGTCAAAGGAAGTACACTCACCTCTGAACCTGGCACCAGAAGTGCTGACGAGCGTGTCACTTACGCTCCTGATGACTCAGCACTTCCTGGTTTCTCTCTGTCGCTGTGCTAGGGCTAATAATATCGAATGACCTTGGTCCAGACTGAGCGTTTCGGGGAACCTTTGGTTTCCTCATCATCAGACATTTGAAATCAGAAATGATTCTTTCCTTTCTGTTGCACGTTAAAATTAATGGTACTAGGTATGAGCCGTTGTATTCTCCGATGGATTACGTGCTTTTTGTTCTTAAGATTAGAAGTAGCTTTGGCTCTGGAGTATAATAAATAAATACATCCTTACCTCTCAATGTGAGGCAGTCCTGTTATATATAAAATTCATTTGGTCTTTGTATTGTTTCTGTGCAGTCCGATGACTGGGGCAGAGGTGGAAGGAAATGAAGTTCAAATTACATTTGAAGTGTATTTGCTACATTGATTTTAGGCAAGGCTTAGGGACCCAAGGTGCCGAGCAGGGAGGGAAACTGGATCTGTTCCATCGGGACCCTCATTGCTCTCTGAAGAGTCCAGCACAGCCCCCTCTGTGAGTGAAACCAAATTGTATTTACTAATTAGATTTATATTTAGAACTAGCCAAAATTATTAGACTAAAAAGCTATTAGTATTGAGACATCTGGAGATGAAGCAGTTCAGAAAGCCTTGAAAATTTTAGAAAACCTTGAAAATGTTTTAACCTGTTTCCCCGGGCTGTTACAACATTAATTATAGGACATGGTTGAGAGTTTATCCATGTCGACAGCCAATTTGTTTAAAAATTTATGAAGCAGTTTCAAAGTTATTTTATACATTATCCAGACATAAAGTTTCTCTAGAAATGTTTTTATTATTAAAGACAATTTTAAAACAGTAGTTTTACAGTAGTTTTAAAACAGTAGTTTACAGTGAAGAGATACAGCAAAAATAATGCTGTGTTTGGGGCACCTGGGTGGCTCAGTCATTAAGAGTCTGCCTTCGGCTTAGGTCCTGGGGTCGAGCCCCACATTGGGCTCCCTGCTCCGCGGGAAGCCCGCTTCTCTTCCTCTTCCCACTCCCCCTGCTTGCGTTCCCTCTCTCGCTGTGTCTCTCTCTGTCAAATAAATAAATAAAATCTTAAAAACACATAATGCTGTGTTTAAAACAGGTATTTATTATCAAATGCTTCTCTATGTGTTTTAATCTTTACAGAGGCCCCTAAATAGCAAGAATTTAACTGCTTCTAAGTAAGCAAAAGTAAAAACTCCTACAGAAAACATAGCCCTGACCTTTTTGCACATGTAATCCAAACGGAAAGTTCGCTTTGAAGTGGGGTCTTATTACATAATCATACTGAGTGTATGCAGTAATATGTATTCCTTTGAATGTCTTTCATTCAGAAACATATTTTTGTTTATTTGACTATCTTACCAGCTGAAAATGGATTATGTTCTGGTTGTTTCATCTAACCACCCAACTTCAAAATACCTGAGAAATTACATGAAGAGCTTCATTCCAAAGCATAACATTTTCAGAGAGATTCAGACCATTGGAAAATTGACCATGGAATTTCACTCCATAGATGATTAAAATAAAAAACAAATAATGGGAGAAAATAAGCAGAATTTAGAAACCCAGGTTTTGCCAGACAGAACACCTGTCCAATCAGCAGTAAATTATTTTAAAGAGCATTTACTTTCTAGAAGGTACTTAGTGTGGGTCATTTGTTTCAGACATGTCTACAAGCATTTCTACCAGACTGTTTGGCCAACTCAGCATTAAGGAATAGAGCATTCAGAAGCATCACAAATCATTACAAAGAGTATGAGAATTATGACCAGTACAGGCAAAAACAAATGAAACCCCTTCTTTTCTTGGGTGTTCTCTGAGATGCTGCTATAGGAATCTGAGGATGGGTAGCATTTGCTTAAGACTCCCAAGTTTCTGGTGCTGCCCACAGTACAAAAACTGACATTTGATGCCTTTTGCATTTCCTCATCTGCTGATTTAGTGAGCATTCTGCATATTGAGAATTTCTCTGCAAGAAATTCTACTTATCACTAAAAAAACTATATGAGATTTTTTTTTTTAAGATTTTATTTATTTGAGAGAGTGCACAAGCAGGAGTGGGGGGAGGGGCAGAGGGAGAGGCTTGGGCTGGAGCCTAGTGTTGGGCTCGAGTCCAGGTCCCTGGGATCATGACCAAGCTAAAGGCAGACACTTCACCAACCAACCGAGTCACCCAGGCACCCCTCCCCATGTGAGATTTCTAATTTTTGTAATTGTTTGACATTTTTAGGGAAGTCTTTTTGTTGAGTTACCTAATTGAGGAACACTCCAATTAATAAGAAAACCTAGTTAATTGAAAGTTGTCATCTCTTCTGACCATTAAGACCCATTTTCAAAGAATTAGAATATGACAGATATGTTGAACACTAAAACTTATAATTTAATACTTTGTTGATTATTGAGAAAGTATTTCAAGATTTATACTTTATTGTAATCCTTCCCAACTACGGTTACGATGAACATGTCCTATTTCTGCTATTTAGATAATTGCAGTTAATAAAATATTAACTTGGTTATATGACTTGGCTATCCATGAAAGAGGAGAGGATGCCTTACGTCTTGTCTGTTGAAGAAACAAAATCTATTGTGTTACGTGTTGATTAGATATAAAATTTATTTATTTTTTTAAGAGAGGGAGAGGAGGGACATAGGGAGAGAGAATCTTAAGCAGACTCCACGCTGAGCTTGGAACCCAATGTGGGGCTCGATCTCACAACCCTGAGATCATGACCTGACCCAAATCAAGAGTCGGATGTTTGTCTGACTGGGCCACCCAGGCGCCCCTAAAATTTGACTCTTTAAATCTAGAAATTATGGAGGGAGAGGTTGAGATGGAAGTAGTGAAGAGCAAGCAGGGAGTTTAGGTAAAGAATAAACTCCTAAACACTGAGAAGACAAATGTATAAGACGAAGAAAATTCTGAATGTATAGAGGTAAATAAAGTAGAGAATGACCCCACAAAAAATAAATTATTTCTTAAAGTTTTGAAATATCATGAGTAGGTCAAAATTAGGATGGCAAAAAATTCCTGGTTCTGAGAGAGTTTCCCTAGACTAGACAGAAATGACGTTAAAGAAAGTAGAAGGAAAGAAAAAAACACCTAAAAGTGCCAGAGAGTAATTAAGAATTAAAATGAGTTTGGATCCAAAATTGGTGAGAGCTACAACTTCACTGTGGTTTATCTTAAATTGTTGACCTGTTACCCAAAACCTACATTTGTTTGTTCTTTTCATATTATGTTTTTGGTGGGAAATAAAGTAAATTCATCTTACATTCATCAGCTTTTGGTCTTATAGTAAAAAAAAATGGATAAAAATGTTGTTCTACTTGACATGCAAATAAGAGTTTTTGGTCTGTTCTACATGTAAAATTCCTGTTGGTTTTCATTATTGGCATTATTATATGTGGTATCTTGTGCCTGTTATCCAGTTACAGACAAACTCTTGCATATGTTAAAACGTGAACTGACTTCTTTAAACAGATAAGTGGTAATCAATTTAGGACGTTGGATTCTTCATTTCTCTTTCGCATCCCCACCACTCTTCATGTGGGAACATGTGCGTATCCATTTTGCACTTAATTGCATGTGTTTATAAAGACGCTAATCAAGTGGTTAAGTAGTGATAAAAATAAAGGAATAGTGGTGGTGGGGAATCACTAAAAAACCGTCACTAACGAGTCTGCAGTTGGTAGGGGCGCCTGGGTGGCTCAGTCGGTTAAGTGTCTGCCTTCAGCTCAAGTCATGATCCCAAGGTGGTGGGATCGAGTCCCGCATCTGGCTCCCTGTCACAGCGGGGAGCCTGCTTCTCCCTCTCCCCCTCCCCCTGTTTGTGCTCTCTGTCTTTCTGTCAAATAAATAAATAAAATCTTTTTAGAAAAATAAATGGTCCTAGATACATTCTCAAAATACATTGTTAAATTTGGGGGGAGTTTGGAAGAGAGAGATATATACATACATATTTTAAAGATTTATTTGAGAGAAAGCGCATGTGCACAAGCAGGAGCAGAGGGAGAGAAACTCAAGCAGACTCTGTGCTGAGCACAGAGCCCCTGCATTGGGCTCTGTGCTCAATCCCACGACCTTGAGATCAAGACCTGAGCCGAAATCAAGAGTCTGATGCTCAACTGACTGAGCCACCCAGGCGCTCCTGGAAGATATATTTTCTATATATTTTTTAAGGGGAAAATAACTATCTAGTTTTACTTGATGTCGAGGATAAGAAGCTTCTATGGATAGGATATTGTACTCATACCTCTTTCAAGAAGGTAGGTTTTCTTAACTTTTTTTTTAGTAAAATATGCATAACATAAAAGTTACCATTTTAACCATTTTCAGGTGTACAATTCAGTTGCATTAAATGCATCCACATTGTTGTGGAGCCATCACCTCTATCCAGCCCCAGAGTTTTATTTCTCCCTCTCTCACAAGAAGATAGATTTTTGTTTATTTTATTTATTTATTTTAAGATTTTATTTATTTATTTGACAGAGAGAGAGCGCACAAGCAGGGGGAGCGGCAGGCAGAGGGAGAGGGAGAAGCAGGCCCCCCGCTGAGCAGGGAGCCCGATGTGGGGCTCATTCCCAGGACCCTGGGATCATGACCTGAGCTGAAGGCAGACACTTAACCCACTGAGCCACCCAGGCACCCCAAGAAGATAGATTTTTTTTTTAAAGATTTTATTTATTTATTTGACAGAGAGAGCACAAGTAGGCAGAGAGGCAGGCAGAGGGAGAGGGAGAAGTAGGCTCTCCACTGAGCAGGGAGCCCGATGCGGTGCTCGATCCCAGAACCGTGGGATCATGACCTGAGCCAAAGGCAGGCACTTAACCGACTGAGCCACCCAGGTGCCCAAGAAGATAGATTTTTAAATGACATTTTGTCACCAGATGAGAACCAGGCAGTAGTTCATGATACAGACAGCAGGTTTAGTGTTAGGAATAGAAATAATAGAGACCCACTAAAGCTAGCTCAAGAAAGAAGGATATTACTGTAAATGCACAGGCCCTTCATGAGAATCTTTACACATTTGTCTTCTTAGGACAGGGGATCTGGACTCCAGGACCCTATAAGGAGTGCCTGTGGTCTATCTTGCACCAGGGAGTTGCCTCTGAGTGTTTGTCCTCACTACTTCCTGTGTGTCTTCATACCCAGGGCTTCCTCATAGCCTTCACATCCAAGGGCCTGTGGTGGTCTTCACAGTTTCTGCGTCTGTGTGAGGTTTTTGGTGTGGTGCCCTGCAGCAGCATGCAAACACTGGTTTTTAGTTCATATTTCAGAGAGTGTGAGGCTTGGTGTGGGGTGGGGAAACAAGCCCCAGTCTAGGAAAGACTGGATTTTCACCCTGGTTTTCACATGGTGAAGAAAATTGGTTGACATTTGATTCTTTGTTGTGCTAGCTAACGTCTGAGTCTTTAAGAAGCAAAATACCGTGTTTGTCATGAAAATGCAGCTTTAGGATAATTCTTTTTTTTTTTTTTTTTTAGATTTTATTTATTTGACAGGGGTTTGGGGGGAGAAGGAACAAGCAGGGGGAGCGGCAGGCAGAGGGAGAAGCAGACTCCCTGCCTAGCAGGGAGCCTGATGCAGGACTCGACCCCAGGACCCTGGGATCATAACCTGAGCCCAAGGCAGACGCTTAACCGACTGAGCCACCCAGGCGCCCTGCTTTAGGATAGTTCTTAAATCGTTTTGAATTTTGACTAAGCGTTTCAAAGCCATATGTATGTTCCTAAACAGGTTTACAATTGCATGCCAACACCTAACAGTAGCTTTTAGCGATAGACACTTGAAGAAGTTTCAACTTGAGAACACTGAAGATGTTCATGAAGAGTAGGTTGCATGGATGAGCATAATCAGTTCCTGGCCACAGCAATGCATAGAGCTTACTCATTCTGGCGGGAAAGTCATGCTCTTCAGATTGAAAAATTGGAACATCATTACAGAAAATGGATTTTTATTTTAAACCATTGAGCAGAAATGCTGCCTGGCTTCATGATGACTAGAAGACACCTTACGTATAATTAACTCAGTGGCAAATGCTTTTATCAACACACCCAAATGAGCAGCATCTCTTCTGATGCTGGATGACTTGAGCTCAGAGCTCAGAGAAGGGGCAACATGGCGGCGATGCTGGAGGGGCAGGCTCCACAGATCAGCTTCCGACCCCTCCCAGGTTTAGCCCTGCCACTCTGTATGTGCCTACTTTGGGGGCACTGGTTATGTGACCAGTTCTCTTCCACTGATGCTGTAAGCACCCTTGAATTGAGAGAAAGGGCTATATGTTTTTTAGAGTTGAAGAAATTACAGACTTTCAGAGCTACTCATTCATTTGTTCAGTCTTTGAACCGGGATTATCTGTACAAGCACTGCTTGACCAGTATTTCTCTCCCAAGATCCCATTACAGCAGTGGTCTTCAGCTGGGAGCAGTTTTACCTCTTGGGGGATATTTGGCAATCTCTGGATGCATTTTCTTTGTCATGGCTGGGGAAGGGTATTGGTACTAGCATCTAATAGGGGAAGGTCATGGATTCTGTTAAATATCCTGCGAGGCACAGGACAGCCCCTACTGCAAAGACAACGCAAAATGTTGATAGTGCTGAGGTTCAGAAGGCCTGCATTACAGAAAAGCACTGGTTAACATCAATTTGTAGGAGGCAAAAGATAGTAAAAGTTGGTGGTATAAATTAGGGGAAACACAGAGGCCCAACACTATTTAGCATTGATAAGGTTAACATTCATCTAATCAGCACCCTGATGTTAGTCTTTCCCTTACCATCAATGGGTGAGAAGAGGAAAACCCAGAGTAGGGATAACTTTCTTCCTTACTTGTTTAATTGGGAGCGAGATGAGATGGCTGAGATGAATGGAGCTAAGGTCAACTGGAAAATTTGGGATTTCCTTAAGAGTGTGGTTTGGGACTGGAATCCACGATGAAGGGCAGAACTAAAAGGTTGTTGCATTTGTCCGTTTACTGAATTTTCATCAGTTTTATTTTAGTCCTGCTAGGGAATCCGAGGTTTCTGAAAAAGGACTAAGGAAGTGGCACAGCTCCTTTGACCCTTCCTTACAAGAGGATACACTTATCCTCAAGTGAAGAAAGCCTCAGGTAGTTCCAGACAACTGACACCTCTGATTAGAGCCCTCTCCAGCTTCTGGATGCATCGCCTCCTGTCTATTCTTTACTGTCTTTCGTATCACAGTGCCTGGCCTATCAGGTTTTATGGTTTTCCTTCCAATGCCTCCATTTATAAAATGTCATTAACCCATATGAGGGGATTAAATAAAATAACCAGTGGAGAAGAACTCCCAAGATGAATTGAAGTGAGTGATTCTGAAGTTTATGAGTGTGGTAGATGGCATCGATAGGTTGAGTCTTCACCTGTTTTTCTCTTCCTCTAGACTTGACCCTGGAAGATTAGTTTCCCTTCTACTTGACGTGGTCTGATATTAACCAAGTCCGAGAGGTTTACCTGTAGAGTATGCACTTGTCTTCAGAGGTTAGGCTCTGATCTCATCAGCTCCATTAAGAGCATTTCTGGAAATGTAAGCCTTCGTTGATCATTAAGTTTGTTCCCCCTGGTTTAACTCTGTGTTCTGTCTTGTCCTGTGGGGCCCGGGCTTATGTCACATGTGCATGTCTTCTTCCCTCAACTCTAATGAAAGATCTTTGTGGATAGAGCTCACGACTTTTTCTTTGGTGGTTAGCATGCTGCTGAGCATACTGCAGGTGCTTAATAAATGCTTCTTTGGTGGGATTGTGTGAGATAATTCTATCTCTTTAGAAATTACATCAGAATAATATGCACAAAGGCAGTCACAATGATGGGGTATTAAAAAAACTTGAAAAGATTAATTACTACCAGCCATCCTAACATGGGGTAACACGGGGAACGGTAGCTTTTAAAAATAGTATGAGAACATATGCAGAAGTGAACACTATCCCTCAATAGCAGTAGTTTCTCAACCGAGGGAGATTTTGCACCCAGAGGACATTTGGCAATGTCTGTAGATATTTTTTGGTTGACAGTTGGAGGGATACTATTGGTATCTAGTGGGTAGAGCCAAGTATGCAGCTAAACACCCTAAATGCACAGGCCGGTTCCCCACAACAAAGAGTTGTCTGGCCTCAAATGTGAATAGTGGCCTGGTTGAGACATCCCAGTGCATAGCCTTGTGTGGACACCACCATGAACGTCCTTTACCACCTAAAGGAATGAGAACAAGCAAAAAAACAGTGCCTATTTTTATATGGAAGAAACTATTATATATTATAAACTCCTAAACAGTGCGAACTGCAGCTATATACATAAACCAGAATGATCTGACAGTTAAAAAGATGTGTGATAGCTGCTCATGTAATAAACGGCGCTTTATGTCTTTGGCCGTGACTTTGGGAGGAGAGGACAGTAAGTTGAAAGAATTCTCTTAAGGGTGTATGCACCTTTCCATGGTTTTAGAAAATGATGGGCCTTTGCTAACCCAGAAAGATGTATTTGAACATTACATTTTTGAAAGTCACATTTTTAATACGCTGGAATTCCTCCGACAGGTTTGATAGTTAGAATGCTGTGAAGCATGCGTCCTTCTGTTTTTTCAAATATTTTTAAAGCTTCCTTGAAGAATGCTTGATAATTTTTAAGGTATAAGAATAATGTGCTTTCCCTCCTGAAATTAACTTTGGGAGGTACTTTTGCTGCATTCAGTGGCAGAATGGTACAGTGGGAAGGACCGTTCACAGAGGGATCCTAGATGGGTCACCTTAACCATGCCCACCCCACAACCCCCACCCCCCAGTTTGCTCATTTTCAAAAAGGAGGACTAAGACTTGATGACCTTGGCTTTAAAATTCTATGTTCCTATAATTTTAGTATCAAATAGTAAAAAAAGAGATTGTTTGTGCAAAGTTTTTTATGAGAGAAATTTTGAAGGCATAAATTATTCCAGTTTGTTTCTTAGAAACTGAAGAAATAATCCTTTTCTACAAAGGCTCACTCCCAGTGTTTAAAGAAAGAAAGGAATTCCTGTTATAAGTAAACGTTGTCCCCACCTCCAAACAAAATAAAAAGGGTCAAGTAAAATTTACAACTGATTTTAAAATGTCATTGTTAGCTAATTTTGAAAATTTTTGCCTATTTTCTTCTATGTGTTTATACTTAAGTATAAAGAAAACATTTTAATAGTACTAATAATGCTGAGTTTTTCACACTAGCTTCCAGAAAATTGCTGTTTGTAGAGGTGTAAAACACATTTGAAAGCTTTATTAAGGTTTTTAGTCTACCATTTAGTAAGTTATTGGGCTCTGAATGAAAGGATGAAGCTTTCCTGTTTGCTGCATGGAAAATTAAATGGAACCTTGAAATTTCCTCCTTTTTCCTAAAGTGGCAATTGAGATATTCACAAAATTGAGGATGTTATAATATGCCAAGAAATGAAGCTTGCTTTTGTGGTGTCTCTATTCTGAAGAGACTGGGAATTTGGTTCTGGTATATTCCAGTTTCCACAGGGGCGTATTCTAGAACTCGGTATCAGGATTGCCTGAGTTGAAGATGCTTTTTGGATGGACCCAAAGATGCTAAGGCATCCAGTTACAGTTTGGATCTCATTCCCAGAGTTAATGTTGCCTACAGAGAATCGCAGTATGTGACATGGGATACATTCATAAAATAGTGTCTTTCCACCTAGCAGAGGTTAACTGAGAACCTCTTTCCACCTAGCAGAGGTTAACTGAGAACCTCCTGAGTGCAAGGTACTTAATATAAACAATATGTACAGTGGGGAATCAAAAAGTGTATTAACGGTCCCTATTTTCAATGAGTTCATGACCTAGCAGGAGGAAAGACAGAAGGGACCCATGCAAACTACTATAATACAAAGAATAAAGTAATACGGACCATTCGGAGTCACAGATACAATTCTAGGCTACCTCAGAAGAAGAAATTGTTTAACTTGTGGGAGCAAGAAAGTTAGACTCCACAGAAGAGGTGAACAATGAGCAGAATCACAAAAGTGGAGATGAATGACGTATGATGCATGGCAGATGAGTCTGAGGTGTTGAGTTGACCAGAGCGAGAGGGGAAAGGAAGGAAGTAGTAGAGATACGCACAAGTGATGGGAATAATAAGAGAATAATAGAATAAACCAGGTTGAAATAGAATCTAGAGACAAGCAAACTAGTTAGGAGATGGACCATTTCTTGGGGAGAGAGAAAAAAAATGGTGGCCTAAATCGGGATAGTTTCCCCGAAATGAGAGGAAAGTATGAGAGAGTTGAGTGCAAGAATTGGCCAGTCTGGGTAGCTGGTTGGGTGTGTGGGTGAGCAGGGCCATAGAGTCAGCAAGATGAATTGGGGTTGGTTAGCCTGAGTAAGAGAATGGTGGTCTACTCTTAGAAATAGGACTCCCAGGAGAAGGGGTGGGTTTGAGGGACACCAATGAGTTCTGTTTTGAACACGTTAAGTTATATGTGCTCTCAGGAAGTAGCCAAGGCAGAGTTATAGTTGAAGTACAGGAAATTGCAAGCTCCAGAGAGGAATCCAGAAAACCTGTAACATTCTTAAAGGAGACATAGATCTTTTTGAGTCCCACATTTGGAATACCATATTGTGCATAATGTGTCCCACCACAGGGAGCAACCCACAAACACCCCATGTGCAAACTGAGCACACGAGTAGGCTTGTGTCACCAGCTAAAATTAAAATGCCTTGTTAACACACACCAGTTTTCACAAGCACAGGTTTTTTTCAAATCATGCCTCAAACAATTGCTGTCCGTAGTTGATCTTGAGGTCACTGTCAAATTGGATACAACATATTAAATCAGTGACTGAGCAAGAGCACCCATATGTTGAGGGAAGAGTAAGACTGAGAATGGAACCTCAAGATTACCTGCATTTAGGATTGAAAGAGAAAAAAGAGTCAGAGAAGAAGGCAGAGACCAGAGAAGGAGAGGGAGAAAAGCAAGATAATTCAGGGAAGTCTTGGGAGGGGAGAGTTTCAAGGAGAAGGAGGCATTTCCTTCAGGTATCTCAAGTGCTGCCAAGAGGTTGAAAAGATTGCATTTAGTAGTGGGAAGGTAGCAGTATCTCTCTGAGAGACAGATTTTGCTGGAAGAGAGAGAAAGGGGGGAAGCCAGGTCACAGATAACAAAGGAATGAGAAAGTGTAGCACAGAGTAGACTATCATTAAGTAAATTGAGGGGATGAAATGTTGTTAGAATGACAACCAGGTTGAAATAAAAGTGGTTTAACTTTTTTGGTGTCATTATACAAAGGAAATATGGGTGTGTTTGTAGATGCAGAGGAGAGTTTGGAGAGGAATGATAAAGAATAAAAACTGAGGGGCTCCTGGGTGGCTCAGTCGGTTAAGCGTCTGCCTTGGGCTCAGGTCATGATCCCAGGGTCCTGGGATCAAGCCCTCTATTGGGCTCTCTGCTTGGTGGGGAGTCTCCTTCTCCCTTAAGTTCTCTGTGTGTGCTCGCTCGCTCTCTCTCAAATAAATCTTTTTAGAAAAAGTAAAAATTGATGAAATGAGGACTTAGCAGAGGGTGGAGGGCACAGTTGGTGGCGGGATACCTTTTCTTGGAGAGGAGGATACTTTCGTCTGAAACATGAGGGATAGAAGACCCAGGAATGAGGCAAATGGCTTTGATTTTCTTCTCTTACAAGAAAAGACCATATGCAGAGAGCAGGGAGGAATTGGGAGCCCTAAGTGAAGGCTGAAGGAAGTGTCTGGAATTAGGCAGAGAGGGTGGAGGAAGAAAAGCCACATGTTGAAGACCAGGAAGTGGGAAAATTGGGTGTCCTAAGAGGGTGGAAGAATCTAAAGTGATTAACATCCCTGAAGCCCCTTAGCCATAGAGAGAGTGTCCTTCATTCAGCTATAAATGAAGGCTTTATAATGTGCTAAAGGTATGCATCAAGAGAAGCCTTATGCTTTAAAAAAAATTGTTCTAATATGTGAAATAAAAACTAAAATTCTTAAGATTAAGTCATACTCATCATCATCTCACAACTAATCTTTAATTGAACACTTAACATGTCCCAAGCCCGATTTTGCCTATCATGAATGGTTTCATCTTTACAGCAACCCTGCTGAGTTTACCTTAAAGTAAGTAGTTTCCTTGTTTTGTATTCTTTGTTTATTGTTTAAAAGCTAGACGTGTGTGTGTGTGTATATATATATATATACACACACACACACACACACATAATATATATACACACATCATTTTTTGGCATATGCTAAGAGTGGATTAATTAACTTATGTGTACACACTTCAAAATTGGGTATGATATTTGTAAAAGGGTGATATATTTTATAAAAATATAGATATAAAGTATTTTTAAGAACTCTTCATAAAAGAGCTCAGTTTGTCAATTATGCTCATTCAGCAGCACATATACTAAAATTGGAGTGATACAAAGATTAGCATGGCCCCTGAGCAAGGATGACACGCAAATTCGTGAAGCTATCCATATTAAAAAAAAATTAATGCACTCGACTGGGCTTAGTAAGAGTTGGGTGAGCCTTCCATAAAACAGTTACTATTTGTTGAATTTCTTTTTCCTCAAAATGTTAACTTAGAGTTGAAATGCAAAAGAAGAGATTTGATACAGCATTTTGACATTTGACATTTTAAAGTAATTTCATTAGATCATCAAGCTCTGAATTATTGAAGATTGTTCTACTGTAAACAGTTCTTTCCATTATCTTTCTTTGAATTAGAAACAAGTTGCTTGCCATCTGCCTGCAAAAAGATAAATGTATTATGCGCTAAAATATACAAAGATTTTGGCATTATGTCTTCTCTGCTTTTTATTAATGAATGCTTTTGTTTAGTCTTACATCAGACCGAATAGAACAGATTTGTGTTTGGAATAGTTTAAAGCCAGGAACAAAATTCTCTGTAACCGCGTTGACAAAAATTCGAATCTCACCCGGGAAGAGTCATTTTCTTTTTTTTTTTTTTAAGATTATTTATTTATTTAGGGGCACCTGGGTGGCTCAGTTGGTTAAGCGACTGCCTTCGGCTCAGGTCATGATCCTGGAGTCCCGCATCGGGCTCCCTGCTCGGCAGGGAGTCTGCTTCTCCCTGACCCTCCTCCCTCTCATGCTCTCTGTCTCTCATTGTCTCTCTCGCAAATAAATAAATAAAATCTTAAAAAAAAAAAAATTAAAAAAAAAAAGATTATTTATTTATTTATTTGACAGAGAGAGACAGCGAGAGAGGGAACACAAGCAGGGGGAGTGGGAGAGGGAGAAGCAGGCTTCCCGCTGAGCAGGGAGCCCGATGCGGAGCTCGATCCCAGGACCCTGGGATCATGACCTGAGCCGAAGGCAGACGCCTAACGACTGAGCCACCCAGGCGCCCTGGAAGAGTCATTTTCAATCTTATTTCTACCCCAGCACACCCAAGGAAGGAAGTAGACTCCCAGAGTGGCTCCCAAAGACAGTGATTCCAGTCATGTGGAGACAGTTTTGCTGCCTGCTCTATCTCCAGTGTTGGTGCATCCAAAGTGCCCAAGAACCTACTCTTGATTAATTGGCTGGTTCTCAGTGGAGGGTGAGGAAGAGGTGTTTGACAAGGCCCACAAGGGATTCTGTATTATTTAGTCCTCACCCTTCAGCATTACCCACCCCATGAGGCAATTCATAATTAAAACATTTCAGTATAAACCAAGTCTAGTATTAGCCTTCTCAAAAGTGCTTCTATGTGCTGCCCGAAGAGATTGTCGCTTTCGAAGTTCTTCTAGCAAACCCGGGTAAATATGTGCTGAGGTATTGTCCTTATTCTTACAGTGTAAAGATTGCATGAATTAGAAGTCAAAATGCAGAAACATTCTGTGACAGTGTGGAGAAAAAGTATGTCTCAAGGTCAAGGTAACCACTGTTGCCTTTTCAGGAGTCAGTCAGAATGATGGCTGGCTGCCCAGAGACAGGGAGCCAATTCTGTGGTGTGGTTGCCATGTTCCAGGATCTGCCTGGCATTAAAGGCTGGAAGCCCAATTTTATTAGTATACCTAGAGGGATTGAGAGTCCAGGGATGACCGACTCATGCCAGCCTCATAAGAAACCGAGGTTTGAACCAAAATGTTGATTTAGTCTTTTCCAATAAAAGCTGTACTTTTCGAGTGTGCTCAGATCTGCCAACCAAGGCATTGCCTTCCCTGCGTGCTTATCTGTGGGAGAGCCGGATTATAGTGGGACCGTGGCACCGTGCGTGTGGGACCCATGCGGGGAGCAGGCTGATGATCTTAATGTCTGATGGCCTCCAGCCCTGTGCTCAGTGCACCCGTTTTGACTGTAGGGGAGGAAGTTCTGTTTGTCACACAGACTCCCTCACCTGTGACAGGGTCTGAGCCACACTGCCAAGTGGGGTCTTTTCCAGAGTTTGCTTTTGTAAAGATGAAATATCGGCATTTTGTAGAAGTAAGTTCGATTGATTACACTGTGCTCTGTTAGTTGCTGTCACAGCTCTGTCCCTTAGATTTGAAACACTCCTCGTCTCTCGGGGCTTTGCTGTCGGCAGCTCATCCTCAACACTTACGCTGTGATTTTCCCAGCTTCTCTCTTAGAGTTGTCCCTTCATTTGAAGGAACAGGGGCTAACACGTTTTCTGTCCCACGTCCTACTTAGGCATACTTTTGTGTCTCTTCATTCAACGGAGATCCCGGACTGAAAACTAACCTCCGACAGATAACTTTTTGGCATATCATTTAACAGTGGCATTTGAAAAATGTGCAACTGGTATATAAGTGAAGTACTTTAGAGTTCTCTAGTATTTTTCTTACCTCCGTGGTTAACAAGTACTAAATTCTAAATTCTGTACTTTGCTGTTTTAGAATTTCCATGGATGATTTTCTTTTGAGTATCTAAAAAATAACATGTATCTATTTAAGGGGGAAATGTCCTACTCTTACCAACTCAGTTTTTCTTTAAGAAACCGCTATTCTAATTCTGAAAGGGAGTATATGCTGTATCTGAAAAACATAGAGAAGTGAAATATCAAAGAAGGAGGTCAGAAACAATAAAATACAGTAAATAAACAATATTTATACATTTAGCCACTTGCAAAATAGGGTTATATCTCAGGTTATTCTGTAAGGATGGTTAGAAAGACTGAGAAGAGACCGTGAACTATCAGGTGTATTATCCTTTTAGCGTGTCAGATCAGGTCAGTAAAAACGTGACCTCATAGAGCAACTTGTTACCTGCTCATTTCTCTGTTAGTTAAAGGGGGCTGTGTAGCCAGTTTCGCTTTTTGGTTTTACTTTTAACAAAGAAATAGAAGCTTAAGAGGGCAGTGATTAAATATCTACATGTCTGTAACCTTTTAGAAGTTGTATAAGTATTGTCTGTTCCCGGGGTCATATTTTTCAAAACTATTGTTCATTACCTAAAAGAATGAAAATATTTTAAGTGATATCCTATTAACAGCCAGGAAACACTTGTCCTGACATTAGTAGATTCGTGTTTAGCAGGCCAGTGCTGAGCTCTAACCTTTGTATATACTACTTCCATATGCATAATGTAAAAATCTGTAAAATTCTGACCCAAGAGAAACTGGTTACATTAAAATATATGGGTAGTTGTGCTTAGAGAATTGGACAGAATCACGGATGGGTTTATTGGTGTGTCAAGATTGAGACTTGGAAGAAACTGAAAGATCAAATGTGTGCTATGGCGCAGGTTAGTTATCTTTTATTGTTTTCATAGTGCTCTGAATCCAAATTGGGGCAGGGCTTACCTCGGATGTGATTTAGGATATTGAAGTTGTTTGTTTCAGGAAGTTCTCTTTCTGTAGTTCCTTGGAAATTTTTCAAGATGTTGGAAGAGTAAAACATGTTGTTATGTTAAAACATTTTGTGACCTAGTTCTGGCCTAAGTATAGTTTTGTACAGGCAAATACACAGGGGATTTAGGCTTTTACTCTAATAGCTAAATGAACTCAAATATATACTGAATGTAAATTGCTTTGAAGGCGATGGATCACAAGTTAATAGATTCTGGACCTTGTTTTTCCTTTCATGAGCAAGACATTCCTTGGAGTTAAGGGGAGATTTATATTAAAGAGTAGCAAATTGTTTCCCTCTTTTGGAAATAAGCAAAATCACCCTCTGATGATAAAATATTTCTTTAGCCTGTCCAGATAGTTACTGAGGAAAGAAGCAGGAGGGGGGAAATGAGGATAACTTATTTAGTAGCTTACTGTTTAGGAAATGAAATATATTTAATAAAAGTGCAATTGCCTTATAATACCATGTGACTCAAAAATAATGAGACAAAGAAAAAAATGAAAGACACCATACTAGAACTTACATGACCAAATAAATCTTGTCCCACAGGAGGTAGTCCAGTTTTTCTAGCTCTGTTCTAATTGAACAAAACATTTTCAGACTCTTTTGGAATTGTCTTCAGAACTGTTTTATGAGCCAAACCCCAAAATCAACATCTTTACTTTATTATCACACCTCTTTTTGGACCCAAAAGAATATTACTCAGCCTGATCCCCCACTTAATTTATCAGACTTGGCTCAGGCTATTTCCAAAAATACAGTGTGCTCTTTTATAGGACAATCGAATATTTTTATTCATTTGTTTATTCATTCAGTGATGGAGGCTCAGCGCCTCCAGTGAGTCAGGTATGTTGTGGTGACACATAGGAGTCTGGGTCTGGAAGTGGGAGGGGAGAAGGGAGACAAGTGAGGATCACAGAAGATGCTCACCCCTCAGTAGCCTTTGCAGATGAGCAGGAGGTTACCAGATGGACAGAGGAGAGCTTTGTAGATGGAGGTATCAGGCACAGAGCAAAAATCACGCACATTTCAGGAACTGCAAGTATTTCAGGATGGGTAGAATCTAGTTAAAAGATGAGAATGAGGGGCGCCTGGGTGGCTCAGTCGGTTAAGCATCTGCCTTCAGCTCAGGTCATGATCCCCGGGTCCTGGGATCGAACCCACGGTTGGGCTTCCTGCTCAGTGGGGTGTCTGCTTTTCCCTCTCCCTCGGCCCCTCTCATGTGCTTTCTCTCTCTTGCTCTGCTCTTTTTCTCAGAGGAATAAAATTTTTTTTTAAATGATGAGAATGGATTGGTAATTGGGGCGAGATCGTGAAGGCCTTAGTAAGCCATGGGATGGAGGATACAGTGGTTAAGAGTGAGGGTTCTCCTGCCTGATTATCTGAGTTCAAATTCTGGCTCCTTCATTTATAAGCTTTATGACACTGGGCCATCTCTGAATCTTCCAGCCTTAGTTCTTTTCATCTGTAAAAGAGATGATACCTACTTTATAGGGTTAAGAGGTTTAAGTACGTAGACACAGATTAAGTTCTTTTAGAAATTTATTATTTATTTAATTTTTTTTCAGATTAAGTTCTTAGTACCATGCCTGGCATATAGTAACCACTCAATAAATGTTAGGTTTTTATACTGTTCCTTTTTCCTGTGGGCAAGAAACAATAATGGAAGTATTTTAAACAGCAGAATATACTTTTTTGCTTTGTGTAGCATTTGCCTACTCACTTCTTGAGATAGTCTCTTCCCTTGTTTTTTTTCTTTTTCAAATAGCTTTTTGACAAGTAATTGATATGCCATACAGTTTACCCAATTGAAGTGGGTGATTCGTTGATTTTAGTATATTCACAGGTTGTGCTAACCCATCACCATAATCTAATTTTAGAACATTTTCATTCCCCCTAAAAGAAGCCTCATCCCCATTAGCAGTCAATCCCCATTTCTTCTATCCCCCTGCTACCGCTCATCCTAGGCAACCTCTAATTTACTTTCTGTTCTTATATTTGCCTACTCTAGCCATTTCATATGAATGGAATCATTCAATATGTAGTCTTTTATGACTGGCTTCTTTGACTTAGCATAAGGTTTTCAAGAGTTATCCACATTGTAGCATGTATCAGTCCTTTTTGGTGACTGAATGCTATTCCACTGTATGTATATTACACATTTTATTTATTCCTTCAACCTCTGATGGACATTTGGGTTGTTTCCATTTGTTGGCTATTATGAATAATGGAGCTGTGAACATTCCTATACTAGTTGTTGGGTGGACATATGTTTTCATTTCTCTTAGGCATATATTGAGGAGTAGAATTGCTAGATCATAAGTTTGAGGAACTGCCAAACTCTTGCAGAGTGGCTGTACCTAATTACATCACTAATGTAGCACTATATGAGGGTTCCACTTTCTCTACATCTTTGCCAATATTTTTATTATCTTTTTAATTTTAGCAATCTTGGTATATATGGTTTTGCTTTGCATTTCTTAGTGACTAATGATGTGTGAACATCTTCTCCTGTGCTTTTTGGCCCTTATTCTATCTTTAGAGAAATGTCTATTCAAATCCTTTGCCCATTTTTATTTTACTTTATTTTCACGTTTATTGAGGTATATTTCACAACCTTGGCCCATTTTTAAGTTGGGTTATTTGTCTTTTGATTATTGAGTAGCAAGAGTTTTTAATATATTCTGGTTGCATGTCCCTTACCAGATAGGTGATTTGCAAATAGTGTGTCCCATTCTTTGGGCTGTCTTTTCATTTTCTTGATGATGTCCTTTATAGCACAGATGGCTCTAATTTTGATGAATCCAATTTACCTATTCTGTCTTCTGTTGTTTGTGCCTTTGGTGTCGTATCTAAGATATCATTGCCTAACTCAGGGTCATGGAGCTTTACTCCTATGTTGTTTTCCAAGAGTTTTATAGTTTTTAGCTCTCACAATTAGGTTTGTGATCCATTTTGAGTTCATTTTTATGTATGTTGTGAGGTGTAGGGGTCCAACTTCAGTATTTTGCGTGTGAATATCCAGTTATCCTGGCATGAATCGTTGAAAAGTGTATCCTTTCCCCAACTTTTTGGCACACTTGTTGAAAATCAGTTGAGCATAAACATGAGAGTTAATTTCTGGACTCTTCATTCTATTCCATTGCTCTGTACGTGTATCTTTATGGTAGTACCATACTGTCTTGAGGATAGTAGCATAGAGTAAGTTTTAAAATTGAGAAGTCCTCCAACTTTTTCTTTTTCAAGATTATTTTGGCTAGGGAGCACCTGGGTGGCTCAGTCATTAGGCATCTGCCTTCCGCTCAGGTCATGATCCCGGGGTCCTGGGATCGAGCCCCACATCGGGCTCCCTGCTCAGCGGGAAGCCTGCTTCTCCCTCTCCCACTCCCCCTGCTTCTCCCTCTCCCACTTCCCTCTCTCGTTGTCTCTCTCTCTGCAAAGTAAATAAATAAAATCTTGAAAATAAAAAAAAATTAAAAAAATTTTTAAAGTATATAACTTTTGATTTTTGCAGTGTCACTTAGAGAAATTTATCATAAGGTAACGAGACAATGTTACAAGAATAGGGGAATGGTTTAATAAGCTACATAAATTTAGTGCAATTTAAAATGGTTTTATTATATATAAACATGCATATATAGAGACTTGTGAAAGCGTTTGGTACATGGTGAAATTTTTTAATTGCAAAACATTTATGTAAAGTGTGATTCTCTTTTTGTTGAACAACAGTAGAAAATAAGCTCCAAGGGAGCAGGGATCTTGTCTCATTGACATTGATATCCCCAGAAGAGAGTAGGAGCTCAGTAAATATTTGTTGGTTGCATTGGTCTCTCTCTTTACTGCTTCTCTTGCCTTAGTCTATCTCTGTTTCTTACCTGAGCTTTTGCAGACCCTACCAACTTGTTTTCTTCGCCTCCAGTTTTATCCCCTACAGTCCAACTTCTGTTCTACAGTCAGAGTGGTATTTCCAAGTGGTACATCTGGCCATGACATTGCCTACTGAAACATCCTTTGGTTCTTCCCCAGTGCTCCTAAGATAATTTCCAGACTTCCTAGCCTGGATTACCAACCCCTTCGTAATTTCACTTCTGTGTACTTTTCCAGCTCTTCTCTTGCCATTTTCCAAGATAATCACCAAGTCATGCCAAACTATCCACAATTCCCCAAATATGAATTTTCCTGCGTACCTACATACCTTTGGACATACTGTTCCTTCTCCTCAGACCATGCCAAACTTCCCGTGTTTATCTGGCAAATTCCAGATCATCCTTTGAGATTCTGAGCCCCAGCTACATCCCCTCTAGGCACATAGGAGTGCCTCTTCTGCAGGGCTTCCATAACTGCAGAACTCTTTTGTAACCCCTAATATACAGGAGACAGACGTCTCTTTAGGGCAAGAGAGTTAGTGAGGGCAGGGACTATATAGTCTTCTGCCTTCAGCTCATCATCTAACTGCTGAACGGACTTCTGCTCTATCTCCATCTCAGGGCTTCCCAGTTTTGGTCTGAGGCCTGGTACCAATTTTCTCTCATCTGTGATGAAATTAGAAAAATAAGAGCCCTGCGGTGAATTTTTCAGAAAGCTAAATCTGTTTACATTTTGGGTGTTAAAATGTGCTTTTTCTAATGAAATGATGTTGATAGTAGATGGTAGGGTATATTTATGTCTTTAGTTGACAACATTCTGTCAGAGCCCAAAATTTGCTGGAAATTTTACAGTTCCCTGAAAACCAAAGGTCTGGGAACAGTGCTGTATCTCATGGGGTGGCACCAAGTCCCCAAAGTCAAAAGCCTATGAGTCATCCTTGGCTTCTCCTCCTTCCTCATCCCTCCACCCCCGCCACATTCAGACACTTAGCAAGTCCTGCCAATTCAACCTCCTAAATATTTCTGGAATCTGTACTCTCCTCTCCATCCTTGCTGCCAATTCCTTAGGACAGGCCCTCTTTATTTTCCCTGTACAACTGCAACAGTCTCCTGACTGGTCTTCTTGCCACTGTTCCCCTCTTACCCATGCCCGTCAGAACGAGCTATTTAAAAATTAGAAATGGATAAAAGTTCCTTATGGCATACACGGTTTTTCTCTAGTGGGATTTCTTGCTTTCCTTTGTTCACACCGTCTCCTGGTTTTGAGTGCCCTTTCTTTTCCACTTTCTTGGGTAACTCCTATGTAAGTTCAGTTGTCACTTCCTCTACGAACCCTTTCTTACAAGTCTGAGTTAGGTGCCCCCTTGCCTATATCCCTACCTCAGCATTTCCAGATTAGTTGGTAGTTCATCTTTTCATGTCTGCCTGCCCACTAGACTCCGAACAACTTAAGAAAATGTCTTTTATCCTTTGATCTTTCTATCCCTAGCACCCAGTACAATGCTAGAAAATAACAAATATTGAGTAAATGTTTGTTGGCTGAATGCATTTGTTTGGTATTATGATCAGGTGTACACTGTGGAAGATTTATGGACCAGATGGGGCTGAGTACAGGAAGTCTGCATGAGGCAGGGAACAGGGTAAAGGCCCTCTATAGAAGTTTAGACAAGAGTGATGAGTACCTGAACTCAGGAAATAGCAGTGGATAGAGAAACATTTAGGTGGTGGAATTGGTGCTTGATTAGATGTATGGGGTCATGGAAGAACCTAGGATTACTTGAAGGTTTCTGGGCTTAGAAAATTGGTTGGTTGGTGGTGTGGTTCACTGAAGTGTCTGTTCTAGACACTTTGAATTGAAATGTTTAGAATATTGGTTAAAGTTGTCCAAGCGGTGAGTGGGTATAGCGTTTGGGGAGAGAACTGTCTTGGAGAGACAGGTTGGGGATTCTGCAGCCTTTAGGTACTAAATGAAGCCTTGGCCGCAAGGGAGATAATGATTAGTTGTTGTTGGCTGTGTCGTAGAGGTGGTGGTGCATTGGGTGGGAAGAGAATGGGATCATGAGATTCTAGATGTTGGAGGTCGAGATCAAGGAGAAAGAAGCATGTGAAGGTTCTGATTGAAGTCCTGGTTGTGTGTGTTGCAGGTCTGTGATCTGGGCAAATTACTGTTTGCCTCCGCTTCTCCATCTGTAAAATGAGAATAGTAACGCCTAGTTAACTGGGATATTAAAAGAATTCAATGAGTTTGCATATGAGAGGTGTCGAGTATAGCCCTAGGCTCACTCTAGGGGCTCATAAATGGTAGAGAGAAGATTCAAGAAAATATTTCTCAGGACCTGAAGATGGTTTCAAAACAAAGAATTTTTCTTAGTGATTACATTGGAGATTATAGTTAACATCTTAAACTTAAAACATTTTAGTTTTAAACAATACAACTTAGCTTCTATGGTGTATAAAAACCTTTTTTCCTATACAGCTCCGTCCATCCCCTTTTATGCTATTATTGTCACACATTTCATCTTTACACATTGTAGGACCATTACCATAGATTGGTACTTACCATCATATGCATTTGTCTTTTTAATCGTATTAGGAAAAAAAGAGTTCCAAAACCAAACTACAATAATACTGGCTTTTTAAATTTTTACCTATGTAGTTAGTTACCTTTGTCAATGTTCTTTCTTTCTTCACGTGGCTTTGAGTTACTCTCTCCTGTCCTTTCATTTCAATCTGAAGACCTCCCTGTAGCATTTCTTTTTTTTTTTCTTATGTTATGTTCATCACCATACATCATCAGTTTTTGATGTGGTGTTCCATGATTCATTGTTTGCATATAACACCCAGTGCTCCATGCAGAATGTGCCCTCCTCAATACCCACCACCAGGCTAACCCATCCCCCCACCCCCCTCCCCTCTAGAACCCTCAGTTTGTTTTTCAGAGTCCATCGTCTCTCATGGTTCATCTCCCTGTAGCACTTCTTCGAGGGCGGGTCTCCTGGCAACAGACTCCCTCAGCTTTTGTTTATCGGAGCACGTCTTAATTTCGCCTTCGTTTTTTTTGAAGGGTAGTTTCTCTGGATATAGAATTCTTGGTTAACGGTTTTTCTCTCAGCACTTTAAATGTGTCATCCACTGCCTTCTGTCTTCCGTGGTTCTTTTTTCTTTCCCTCTAATTTATTTATTAATTTGGCCGGGGGGGGGGGTTGAAGGGGGGTGTGGAGAGCAAGAGTGCACAAGCAGGGGAAGCAGCAGGCAGAGGGAGAAGCAGGCTCCCTGCTGAGCAGGGAGCCCGCCGCGGGGCTCGATCCCAGGACCCCAGGATCATGACCTGAGCCGAAGGCAGACGCTTAACTGACTGAGCCTCCCAGGCGCCCCTATCTTCTATGGTTCTGATGAGGTGTTGGCTATTAAACAACGTTAGGTGGTGAGTAGCTTATACTTGCTGCTTTCCAGATTCTTTTTTTGCTTTTTGACAGTTTGATTTATAATGTGTCTCAGTGTGGATCTCCTGGCCTCACGTTAATGTGCCTAGAAAGCACTCAAATAAAGGATTGTAATAATGCAGCCAAATTAAACGATTGTAGTTTTGTAATAACAATGACTGCGAATTATCCATCGGTAGAAGACAATCAGTATATTGCGCTTAAAAAGTCAAGAAAATGTTCAATGCATGCTACAGAGAATTCCATTAAAAACTTTAATTTTTTGGGTGCCTGGGTGGCTCAGTTGGTTAAGTGACTGCCTTCGGCTCAGGTCATGATCCTGGAGTCCCGGGATCGAATCCCGCATCAGGCTCCCTGCTCGGCAGGGAGTCTGCTTCTCCCTCTGACCCTCCTCCCTCTTGTGCTCTCTCTCATTCTCTCTCTCGCAAAAAAAACAAAAAAAAACAAAAAAAAAACTTTAATTTTTAAAAATTGTTTGAGGGCTTACAATGGGTAAGAATCAGATATCAAAATTCTCACTTTCATGGATAATTGCCTGATAGAGTCCCAGTATGAGTTGTTCCTATGGTTCTTTGCAAAAGAAACATTCTTCCTTGGGGGACATATAGTTGGAGCTACATTTACAAATTCTTCTCCTTTAGTTTTTCATTGCTCTCAATGCCATGAAATATTTACCTTATTATATGAAATATTCCTAGAACAAAGATTAAACTCTAAAATAAAATTTGTATGGAGGCATACTAAATCATAACTTAATATTACACATTTTTACATCTGAACAAAACAACCTAATTCCAGATGCCTAAGTTTGGCAGTTGATAGAGCTTATCAGTTCTTTTTTAACTTTTCCAACTATGTTCTATTTTCTTATCTTTTAATATGGTTTCCTGATGGTGTCCTTAAAATATATTTATAGATTTTTTTCAGTTCTTTTTTTTAAAATATTTTATTTATTTATTTGAGATAGAGTGAGAGAGAGAGAGATTGAGAAAACACAAGCCAAGGGGAGGGGCAGAGGGAGAGGGAGAAGAAGGCTCCCGACTGGGCAGGGAGTCCGATGGGGGGCTCAATCCCAGGACCCTGGGATCATGACCTGAGCCAAAGGCAGACACTTCACCGACTGAGCCACCTAGGTGCCCCTTTTTTTTTCAGTTCTTAACACAGTAGTTGTTCCTGGAAATTTTGCTTGAATAGATCTAATTTTAAAATGTAAGATGTTAGAGGCGCCTGGGTGGCTCAGGTGGTTGGGGAGCCAACTCTTGATTGTGGCACAGGTCATGATCTCAGGGTCCTGGGATCAAGCCCCGCATCCTCTCTCTGCTCAGTGGGGAGTCTCTTTGAGGATTCTCTCTCCCCCCTTCTCCCTCTAGCTCTCTAATAAATAAATACGTCTTAAAAAAATAAAATAGAATGTAAGATGTTAGATGTTAATTTTTATGACTTTTAAAAAATGCTTTTATCATTTTGGTTGCTTATACCTTGTTATATTAGAAAGGGCGCTGAATTCTTAGCCATGAGACCCAGTTTTCTTACTCCTTCAGTTGCTTTGCCCATCTGCATTCTCTTGGCCTATGCTTCTTTATCTGTAAAACGATTGTACAGAACCAGATAATCTCTGAAGTGCCCCATACTTTCAAAATTCCATAATTCTACCATGCAGGATTTTTCTCTGGCTTGTCTGATAAAAACCTTAGAGCAGTTTAAAGAATTTGTGAGCTGTCACTGTTTCTCTTTTATTTCATGTTAATTCTGTTACTTTTGACCTAACAATTAGCCAAGCATCAGAAAAGTAGTTTTATTTTTCCTACATGCTTTTTTATGGGGTTGCTCCATATGGGAGAAAGATTAAAATCTCATCCCTTCAGTGAGACAATAATGCATACATAGTATTTTTTTTCTCCTAGAACCAATTTAAGAAGTTAAGTTGTTAACATTTAATTTTAAAAACTTGCCATTTCAGGATTGAGGATCAGGATTTTCTCAGTAACTCAGAGGAGCAGAGTGAAGAAAAGTATATGAGTGATGGAAGAAAGAAGACTTAAATGAGAAAAGAAGCTTTTATAACTCTTGTTTTTAAAATGGCGATTTTTTTATTATTAAAAATTGATATGCTCTCATTGTAGAAAGTCTAGATAGGCAAATAACAGGAAACACAGCTCAGTAATCTCATCACTGAGAGATAACCACTGTTAGCATCTTGATTTATCTTTCTACCATTTTGTTTATATATGCAGAATCAAACTGTACATATTTTTCTGAAACGTTCATTTTCTTTTAATAATAGATTATGAACACCTTTCCATGTTCAGTAAATATGAATCTGAATCATCTTTTTAAAGGCCACATAATCTGTGTATCTATTTATGTATCTACCTACCTATCTTGCCAGATTACTCTCCAGAAGGTTTTTGTTTGGTTGGTTGGTTGGTGGGTTTTTTTGTTGTTGTTTTTACCGATTTGTACTCCCACAGTGATGTGGGTCCATTTCACAAACCCTCACAGACGCTATGCCATTTTACCATTTAAAAATTCCTTACCCAGTTTGAAGGGCTTAAATAGTATATTGCTGATGTTTTCATTTGTTTCATTAAGTTATTACTATAGTTTTAACATTTTCTCATATGTTGATAGTCATTTATGTTTCCTTAAAAGGAACTAACTTCAATGGTTGTTTTATTAGATAAGAACCTAATCCTAAGTACCTGACTGAATTAGTGCTAGGCTAAATTTACTCACCTCAGAAGGATGTGATTATGAAAGATTTTTGGCTTACGGTGTAGGTAAAGTTTGGTTAGTTTTCTTCTAAGACCCAGCAGACAGCCTTCAGCACAGACAGCTGCCTCGTTTTGGCTGATTCGTCGTTTTTCCTCAAGAGAGGCCCAAAGCTGGAGAACGGGGCTTTTACAGGTCAGAAATGGAGACAGAACTGAATGTTGAAAGTTTTCCAGAATCCAGCACTCCTTCTGACTCAAGCCAGAACTGTTGACTTTACTTTCAAAAATACCATTTAACTCTTGTATTTTTGAGATGAGACTATCTTTTTCTACCTCTATTGGGTGAACTAAAGTGGGTTATTTTTCTAACTAGTTAAGGGAAGGATGTAAGAGGGCCTGGAGGATCAAGTCTTTAACTTTATTTTTCCTGTGAATTTTCTGAACATTTATTGTTTTCAGTCCAGCCTGGAAAGCATATACTGCTATATCCAAGTTTACCAAAGGCATTTGGGGATCCTGTCAGCCAGTGTGTCTCCTCTGCCATAGAGAGGTCTCTGACCCAAATGCTGCAGAGGTAGGATTGCACAATGGTTAGGAAATCCGACTCTGGAACCAGACAGCCTGACTTCAGATCCTATCTCCACCACTTACCCTCCTGTGCTTTAGGCAAAGTACTAAACCTCTCTCTGGCTCTTTCTTTCCTCCTTTTGTTTCTAAACAGCATTATTGAGATACACTTTACATACCATCAAATTTATCTGTGTAAACAGTTCAGTGGTTTTTGGTCTATTTACTGAGCTGCCCAACCATCACCATGATCTAATTTTAGACCATTTTATCACCCTGAAAATATCCCGGTACCCATTAATGGTCATATTCTATTCCTCTCCCTGCCCCAGCACCTCCAGCCCTAGGCAACGACTAATCCACTTTCTGTCTCTATGGACCTGCCTACTCTGGACCTTCCATGTAAAAGAAATCGTGCAATATATGGCCTTTCCTTACTGGTTCTTTTCACTTGGTGTAATCTTTTCAAGATTTATCTACGTCATACCATGTCTCTCTACTTCATTCCCTTTTTTAATCAAATGATACTCCGTTGTATGGATATAGTGCATTCTGTTTATCCATGCATCCATTGATGAACACTTGGGTTGTGACTACTTTTTTAGCTAGTGTGAATGAGGCTGCAGTGTTGTTTACGTACATCTGTTTCTTTATTCATAAAGTGAGCACCATCTCATAGAGTTGTGAGGACTAAAAAAGTCCAAGTATGTGGAAGTAGTGAGTGGATAGGGAGCAAACAGTGTTAGTTAATAAGTGCAACTTAGGAGTGTGTGTCCTCACTTAACGTCAATTACAAGATTTGACTTACTCAGGGTGCCATGCTTTCTTTCCTAACGACCTCTCCGAAGATCCTCTCTTTTCCTTTGCTGCTGACTTTTCCCTGAGTTACAATTCTGAAAAGTTTAATTCATTCAGCAAAACGTTTATTGAATACCTGCTGTGTGTTAGATGGTTACGCCAGGTGCATGGAGAACTAAAAGAACAGGATAAACGGAAGTATGCAGAGGCATTTCCAGTTTAAGGTTGTCTTTAGTTTGCTAATCGGTAGCCTCTGACCTGCCAGTAGGGTTTAGGACTTAGAGCCCCTGAACCCCACCTTCACACCAGATGCCACAGGTTTGGGGTCTCTTAATCCTTTCACTCTTGTCAGGCCTTTGTTTTGACCAGCTTATCTGTGTTTGTCAAGTGGCTGATGGAAGCTGACTGTTGTGTATAGTGATTGAGTCTCGGTGGAGACCTCAACAGGTAAAAGAGTAGTTAGTATCTCACTCCTGCGCTGTCCCTGGGGTTGCCGAATGGTGTCTATTCTAATCCATATGGAAAAGTCCCTAATTTTTTCAATTTGCAGGTTTCTTCTTTTTTGTAGAGCTGACTTCACGTGCTTTCTGAACTAATGCGTGTTGGAACTGGACTCAGCAAAAATATCGACTCAGCATTGTCTAGCTACCTGTGTTTTTTATCTCTTGACTTTGGGTGGGTAGTGATTTGCATGGTGACTTAGAATACACTTGTTGAATATTTTGCCTCTGCCACCGTCCTCTGCCCTATAAGAGAACAAATACATTTTTATGATTTCCTTATTTGTTTGAGCTCTGAAGTAGTGTTTCCTTTTTCCCGTAATAGCATAGAGTTAGCATAACGGAGTGATGCTACTACCTCATTCTTCTCTCTTTCATTCAGACAAAATGCATTAGCAGTTTAAAGAACTGTTTGATAACAGAAGAGTGCCTCTAGTGTTTGCTGGAGGACTATGAAAGCAGTTTGAATTCTGGGGGCGCCTGGGTAGCTCAGTGGGTTAAGCGTCTGCCTTCAGCTTGGGTCATGATCCCGGGGTCCTGGGATCCAGTCCCGCATCTGCTTCTCCCTCTCCCTCTACCTGCCTCTCTGCCTACTTGTGCTGTCTCTATCTCTGTCAAATAAGTAAAATCTTTTAAAAAAAAAAGAAAAAGTTTGAATTCTGTTGCTTAATGTCCATTTCAGGAATTTGTCTTGAATATGAGCAGAGTAGTCTACAGGTACGCCATATTCCCATTAGGACTTCCACAGAGCTTATTTGGGGCCTCGCTAATAGTATACCAATTTTGTACCATATGCCATCATACGGTAGCAGTGTGTTTCCATATATAGGAGTTTTACTGTTTGCTCTGTTTTAAATATTTACTGTCGTGCGAGCCATATCTTGTAAACTTGCCCAATTTGGGGGATTCCCACTTAACTTGTAAAACATTTTTTGGTTAATGGATGCAAAGATATTATTAGCTCATAGGTCCAGATTGCCACCTCTATATAGATAGAAGCTGAAACCAGATTAGTAGAAACTCTAAAGATGAACTAGAAGAAGATGAACCACTTAATTTTCTTATGAACACTCTCTTTAAGGCTATAAAGAATCAAGTGATTTAGTAAATAAAGGATGTTGACTTTGCATTCCCTTGTCAGATGATGGTAGCCTTAAACTTTAGCAGCACGAACAGATTTCCCTGCTTTAGAGTTGCAATCTGACATTTCACTTGACCCTTGGATAACACAGGTTCGAATGCATGCATCCACGTATATGCAGATTTTTCCCTATTAATACAGTACTGTAACTGTATTTTCTCTTTCCTTACTATTTTCCTAATAACATTTTCTTTGGTCTACTTTATTATTTTTTTAAATGTGGAACATTTCACTAATTTGCGTGTCATCCTTGCATGGGGGCCAATTTTAGTATATGTGCTGCGGAAGCGAACACCAGCTCTATTTTAACAATTCAGTATGTAGTACATATAACACACAAAATACGTGTTAATCGACTGTGTTCTCAGTAATGCCTCCAGTCAACAGTAGCCTATTAGAAGTTAAGTTTTGGGGGAATCAGAAGTTACACATGGATTTTTGACTGCAGGGGGGTCAGCACCCCTAAACTCTGCATTGCCCAAGGGTCAGCTTCCCTGGGCATTGTCCCCTTTTCAGCAGTAGGTAATGAGGTTGCTTAATTCAGGATTCTAGGAGAACATATCTCCGAGCATTGGGATTCAGCCCTTAAATTAAACTCTGTATCCTTGTGTTATTTTTAAATACTTCTCCTTGCCTCCTCACTTCCTCTTACCCCACTGAGTCCCTTCCTGTTCTAGGTTACATATTCCTGTTTGCTGTGAACTCATCTGTGTGTCTTCTTCTGCCTTTCTCCGCTTTTTCTCCACAAAACGTTTCTGCAGTCAGACCAGGAACCTCAAATAGGACTCCTTGGGAGAGATGAATTCGTCTGCTCTGGGGCTGTCAATTACTCTTGCCCAGGGGTCATGCTCCTGGAGGGACCATTTAAAGGGAAATTGTCTCCCAGCAAGTCAGGTCTGGTGCAGTCACCTAGAGGAAACTACTACTATTTATATGCTTGACCTTAATTCATTGTGTCTAATATATAAGACATATTTGAGGTCAGATATTGCTGTTTCAGAATCATTTAACCATTTCAAGATATGTATAAATGTCCTAGGATTATTTTTTGTGTGTGAGTAATAAAAGCCCAGCCCAAACTGGGTAAGCACAAAAGTGACGTTACTGGCTGATGTAACTAATAAATCCCAGGTTATGTTGGCACAAGTGGGGCCGGTGCTTACCAGTGTCTCCAGAATCTCTCGCCTGTATCGTTTCTCTGCTCTGGCTCTCTTCCCCATTGGCTGCATTCCATGGCGTGCTCACTAAAGTGGTGGCAAAGACAGCCATCGGCAGCTGCAGGCTTCTCTGTTGCCGGTTTGGTAATCCCAGAATAAAGAGAGCGATCTCTACTCTCCCAGAAGTTCTAGTAAAAGTCCTGGGACTGAGTCACATGGTCCTGTCCATCCCTAAATCAGTCAGTGTTACTCAGTCCAGAGCAGGTTACATGCTATGCTGCGCTCATGCCCCCAAAACCATATTGCCTGAGTAGGAGTGGTTCGTCAACAAAATATGAAGATATGGTTTATAGAGGAGGTAATAGGTGTTGGAAAGGCAGACATCACACATGTCTACTGAATATTAGGGTGTAGAATGAATGTACTTTGATGTGATATGTAGTTTCATGTTCTGTGTATAGAATTTATTTGGAATTAATGCACAGCCATACACCATTACTTACAGTTTGATATATCAGTCTTCTCTCCCCTAACTGGATAGTAAAGCTCTTAAAGACCATACCCATCTTACATCTTTTGGAATCTCCAAGACTTAGTACCACTCCTGCACATGGTAGGTACTCATAAATGTTTATGGACGCTGCAGAAATGGCAAGTTCCTTCTAGCAGCATTTTCATTATTGTTGGTGGCAAATACCTCTGGAGTTACACCATTCAGTGTTGGTTTAGAACAAGTGCACACACAGTCCATATTTAATGAGCAAATGGAGAACACCCTGGCCAGTATCCAGTATGCGTGAACATAACCTCGGGTACATGCAAGCTACACGCCCAGAATGTGCTTCGTGGACTATATAGAGAAAGAGAGATAAAAAAGAATTCTTCTCAATTCCAAAGACTGGCCGTAGTTCAAATAAAATTTTATTTAGCGCCCTTAGGCAGCCGTGCCAGACTTCTCTCAGCTCTTGAACTATTTGATGTCCCAAACATTCAAGGGTATGAAAAAAAAGTGACAGGAAAAAAAATCCTCATAGAACTTCCTGTGACAGGTCAAAGTTTAATCACAGCAAATAATGCAGATTTCCCTTTTCTTATAACCACAACAGAAAGGCGGGGCTTGTGTTTACAAAGCATGTTGTTTGGGAGACCTTTGTAAATTGTAATCTTTGGAAATCCCAAACCTATTGGATGTAATCCCATCCATTAGACAAAGGCAACTTGCCTATGCAGTAGATCCAGAATAGCAAGTTAAATGGAAAACATGAACAGGAAGCAGTCATTAAGAATTACAATGGGTAGGATACAGAGTTAATTCACGGAGAAATTTTGTTATGAGATAATGACATCACTAGGACAGCTGGAAAGCTGAGGGCTGTGCTGGACCCTGTGCTTTGCTCTCTGCCCCGCAGCTGAGGGGTCAGGACTATAGAGACAGGGAGAGAACTTTATGGGATAGTTAGCGGCTTGGCTGACTTAATTGTGAAATGGTAATGACCTATCTGGCTTTTTTGGATTGCCTTTTGCATAGCTAAACTGGATTCATAGACTTAGTGAATGCTGAGAACCACTTTTCATTTCCCCTTTCTGAACATTCACTTGGATCACATTAAGCTAGGCTCTAATGGATACGTATCGAATGGTAGCTTTGATTTCCTCCAAACGTCCTCTGAGATATTTTGTTCATATTCAACACAGTATGAATATATTTCTCTTATGGAACTATAGTCATGCAATCATTGAAATGGTGTTTTTGTCAGTTTACTGAATAGCAAAAAAAAAAAAAAAAAAAAAAGTTTTAGAAAGTCTTAGGATGTTGGTCAACACAAGGAATCATACAGTTGAAGTTATTTTCCAGTGTTTATTTTCAAATGTTCAGACCTGTCTGGCTCTTTCGTTTTGCAAGTGTAGGGGTTATAGGCAGCCTGGCCACATTCCTCATTGATTTATATAAATATATTACAGATTGTTAACCTCCTGCCAAATACCAGGGATTTCAGTTCTTGTTTAGCTCAGTTGCTTTATGTGAGACTTATTTGTTATATTAAACATCTATGTTCTCTTTATTGCCCACCACATTGACTATTATTTATTTGATTTGGGGTAATTCCAGAGGGAGTCATTGTAGACAGAAAAGCATCATAAATATTATGTTCTAAAATTCCTCAGATGAATACAGGCCTTTCCTGCTATTTGAAAGTAGAATGTTCCTGGGAAACCTTTTGTAGGCTGAAATGGTGTAAAGTGAAGAAGCAGTTACCATTAATTTATGTGGAAAATTTTTTGAGTGTTCCCAGACCCAAAAAGTAACCTCTCCTAGGCTTTTCTGATACCTTAGGACACATCTTGCTAACGGGTGCACAAAATAAATCGAGGTAAAGCACAGATGCTCACCGAGAGCCTCCAAAGCTAAGGCGGCTTAATGCCCAGAGGCTGAGTATCATTGTGAGGAGGAGCTTGGGGGTGCCCCCTTCACTGTTTGGGATGCGTGCTGCCTCTGCAAAGGCTCACTACAAAACAAATATTGAGGGGCACCTGGGTGGCTCAGTCGTTAGCATCTGCCTTCGGCTCGGGTCATGATCCCAGGGTCCTGGGATCGAGTCCCACATCGGGCTCCCTGCTCTGCGGGAAGCCTGCTCCTCCCTCTCCCACTCCCCCTGCTTGTGCTCCCTCTCTCGCTGTGTCTCTCTCTGTCAAATAAATAAAATCTTAAAAAAAAAAAAAAAAAAACAAGTATTGAATGCTATTTTCACTTTTCTCCCTTTTTCCTAAAAGCACAAATCCTCTTTGAGATTTCTTCAGTTAGTGAGAACAGCTGTACTAATGTAGGACTTTTGTAAAAGGGCAGTGGCGTGAACTTTCGAAGACTGGGGAATACCTGTATTTATAATTGTTGACTCAAAATGCATTTCCTACACATAAGATAGTGTAGACTATATAAACTAGCATAACTTTTTTTTTTCTTTACAGTGATAATGTTCACTAAACAAGACTGAATTTTGTATTTTAGCGTGGAGCAGCATTTCCCAAAATGTCTTCAGTGGAGTCCTGGCTCTGTAAGATGTTGACCATCGGCATTGGAGCCAAAGAAGGTCCTTCCAGGACCTCTCCTTCCCTTCATGTCACTTGTGAATTTCTAAGGAGAAAGTAATACGCTGCATTTGCAGCATCCTAAGTGGCCGGAAAGGCAGCCCCGCAGGCTGCCGGCTCCAGACACTGATGACTTACAGCGAGGAGGCTGTAAGAGGGTTTGTTCGGAGGGGAGTGATGGCTGCAGGGCACCGGAGGCAGTAGGGTGGGAGGCCCGCGGGAGTGGCAGGGATCTGGGAGCACTTCCCCAGCGTTCAGGGCTGGGAGAGCGGCGGCCAGGGTCCCAGCCACGGCCGAGTCTGGGGAGGGAGCGGCCGCAGCAGTGGGCAGAGGAGCTGGAGTGGAAACCGGCCCGGGAGAGAAGCCGGTGGGCTGTGGGCGTCCTTCCCATCAAGAAGCTGGGCCCGGCGGCCGTGGACTCCAACCCCTGCAGGCGCCTGATGGCACTGAACCGAGTGGGCATCGGAAGCGACTGCGAGGAGGAAATCTGTACCTTTGCTGTAGCCATAGTGGGGTCGGCGGAGTCGGTAGCGTGCCTGCTGACGTGGCCTTGCTACGTTGCTACTCTTTGACCACGACAAGGAGGAACTGGCACATATGAATAGACCTTTCTTCCAGCCTATCCTTCCAATCAAGCAGGATTAAGTAAAGTTCAAGCAGCAGAATATGCTTTGAGGAACATTAACCCAGATGCTCTTTAGGAAGTATGTAACTGCAATATAACCACAGTAGAAGACTTTCAGCATTTCATGGATGAGAGTAAGTAATGGTGGATGAGAAGAGGGAAAACCCCTTAACCTAGTTCTTAGCTGTGCGGACGGTTTTGAACCTCGGGTGACAATAAACACAGCCTGTAATGAACTTGGGCAAACGTGGCTGGCGTCTGGGGTCAGTGAAAATGCAGTTTCAGGGCATATACAGCTCATAATTCCTGGAGGGTCTGCTTGTTTTGCACGTGCGCCACCAAAGTGCTGCAAATACTGATGAGAAGACTCCTAAATGAGACGGTATGTGTGCCCCCAGTCTTCCTACCACTGTCGGCATGGTTGCTAGGAGCTTGGTACAAAATGTGTATAAAGTTTCTGTTAAACTTTGGTACTGTGAGTTTTTACCTTGGATATAATGCAGTGCAGGATTTTTTTCCTGCTGGGACCGTGAAGCCAAATCCTCAGTGTGTTGACAGAAATTGCAGGAAGCAGCAGGAAGACTACAAGGACAAGAGGTTGTTCAAGAAGAAGAAGAGGAGATAATATGTGAAGATAAGGGATGGGGTATTGAGTTGGTATCTGAGGTTTCAGAGGAGGAACTGCAGAATTCTTCAGGTCCAGTTCCTGACTTACCTGAAGGAATGACCCTGCCATAAACAATTCCCGAAAAGCAAGAAGGTTCTATACCTGAGGTGTAACTGTGGAAGATTCTGGTGAAAGCTTGGAAGACATCATGGCCAAGATGAAGAATATGTAGATAATAGACTGACCTATATTTTATTTCCTGAGTTTAAGCCTATTTCCTTGCAATTAAAAAAAAAATCATTTAAAAACTGGCAAAGCTTAGGGCAACATTAACTGATAATAATCTTCGCAAAATTGTTAACACTCTTCGAAAATACTGTGTTACTCGTTGCTTTCTCCCTTCAACTAAATCAGTAATTCCCCTAAAACTTTCTAGTTAAGAAAACTTGAAAACTTAGCCACTGAACTGTTTTGGCCTTTTGGGAGGGGTGCGAAGAAATGACCAATTTGATGCCATATTTCTTTTCTTTCCAGTAAGCCTTTGTGGTCTGTTACCTGAGGCATGGACAATAAAGTAGTATGTGGTTCTCAAATATAGGGTGAGAGCTAGCAGACATCTACTCACTGTGTTTAGAATCACTCTCTACAAGAATACTACTACTATTAACTTGGCTAACAGGAATAAATTTAGGCTAAGATCATCTAGATTATACCATCATATGAGCTACCTTTTGGATATTTCATTTAAATTTGATTCTCTAGATAATTTGATAGTTTCCTGTACTGGGGGCATAAAAGAGACCTAAATTACCTGTGCAATGACTGACATGTATTTATTCACTGGAAGAGTGTCATTTACCCTGATACGAGCACTACATTATAATTGATAAACTGGTTTTCTCTGGAGTTGCACACAAATAATAAAAGCTTAGAGAGCCTTGGTTAAATAAACTCCCAATGGTTTGGAGACCAATAAAAAACATGCATGTATGGGGCGCCTGGGTGGCTCAGTTGGTTAGGCGACTGCCTTCGACTCAGGTCATGATCCTGGGGTCCTGGGATCGAGTCCCGCATCGGGCTCCCTGCTCGGCGGGGAGCCTGCTTCTCCCTCTGACCCTCCCCCCTCTCATGTGCTCTCTGGCTCTCTCATTCTCTCTGTCTCAAATAAATAAATAAATAAATAAACTGTTTAAAAAAAAAAACATGCATGTATAACCATTATCAGTAGGATGTGACTATGCTGTGCTAATCTTCTATTTTGATGATTTTTTGCTTTGAAGATATGAATGTCTACATTGTATCTGTGGGGAAGAAATGTTGGCACAAAATGAAAACTGCGATCTTCACTTGTAAAATAAAGTTCTAAAATCTGATTTGAGAAAGTCCACCCCCAAAATAATAGCACCTTAAAAAATAAAAAGAATTATCTCCTTGAACCAGCATGAGCCACTTCTACCTAATGCCATTCTTTTTGTAACCTTGAAAAATAAAATAATTATATACATTAAAATTTATACAGGGATGTTGTATGCTATGCACGGTCACACATATCTCTTTAAAATTCCACATTTTAAAAATTGCCAATTAGTGGCGCCTGGGTGGCTCAGTTGGTTAAGCGTCTGCCTTTGGCTCAGGTCGTAATCCCAGGGTCCTGGGATCGAGTCCTGCATCAGGCTCCCTGCTCAGCGGGGAGTCTGCTTGTCCCTCCCCTCGTCCCTCCCCGTGCTCATGTGTGCGCTCGCGCGCGCTCTCTCTCTCTCAAATAAATAAAATCTTTAAAAAATTGCCAATTAAAATGAGTGCCTTTTCTCCATGGCTTATGATTTAGAGCAATTGGCAGTGGCTTCATGGGCTCACCTTTGCCCATTTCGTGTGTGGAGTCCGGTTGCTTCAGGTACCATCGGTGAGTCTTCATATTTTGAAGAGAATGTTATAACTTTGAGGAAAATAACTTGGGTGGGTTAGATGTTATTCTTGAATTGTGTCATACAAACAGTGTTTGAAAGCATGGTTTCAGTAAAATGAAGCAACAGAGCATACTGCCACGACAGTTAGGTAACTAACAACGGTTTGGAAGCAGGCTTTTTGGTTCAGCAGTGTTTTATGATCATTTTATTCTCCAGTTACGTCCCCGTCAAATTTTTTTTTCTTTTGGAAATTACTAAAATGTCATATATTACAAACTATAAGTGCAGGAAGAACTAGAGTTACTAAAATCAGTGCTGACCTGAGGCAGTGGTAAAAAAAAAAAAAATGTATTTTTTTTCATGAAGGAAATGTATTAATTATAATGGAAAACATTTTAAAAGTAATATTTAAGAAGCACTCCTGTAGTGGTGCAGTTCCCATGTTTGTGTTTGAATTTAGTGCATGTCATTTTTGATTCATTGCTGTTTTATTTTATTACAAAAATAGAAGTAACCTATACAAAGAAGCTTGGTGATTGTGGAACTCCTTTTTCTTCTTCAAAAGGAAGAAAAAAAGTGAAGCTGGCGAAGTATGTAGGTTTTATAATGGAAAGAAGAGGGTTCAAAGGAGCCCATTAATAAATGGGTTCATTCTACCAAACTGAAGTTGTTTTGATAAACTTCCCAGGTGTCGAATTCATGCATGATAGTGATCATCATTGTCATAGTATGGCACTCATACGATGATTTATCTTTAATAAATTTATTAGGAGTTTTTACTTTATTAGAATAGTTTTCCAGAATAAGTCACATTAGTGACATCAGAAGACTTTGGAATTTGAAAAAAATCAAGTTCAGAAGTAGATGATTAAAACTTAGAAATCAGGGCACCTGGATGGCTTAGTTGGTTAAGCATCTGCCTTCGGCTCAGGTCATGATCCCAGAGTCCCAGGATCGAGCCCCGCATCGGGCTCCCTGCTCAGCGGGAAGCCTGCTTCTCCCTCTGCCCCTCACCTTGCTCTCGTGCTCTCTCTCTCAAATAAATAAATAAAATCTTTAAAAAAAATGTTTTTTAAATAAAACTTAGAAATCAGGGGCACCTGGGTGGCTTAGTCAGTTGGGCGTCCGACTGTTGGTTTCAGCTCCGGTCATCATCTCATGGTCCTGGGATCCACCCCAGTCGGGCTCAACTCTGCTTCAGATTCTCTCTCTCTCCCTCCCCCTCCCCCTCTGCCCCTCTCCCCCTGCTCACAGGCGTGCGTGCGTGTGTGCACACACTCTCGCTCTCTCTCAAATAAATAATAAAATCTTTAAAACTTAGAAATTGGAATATTTAGAAGTGAATAAACGTGAGAAGAAATTCAGTCGATCTTAACTGATTTTGGTGGAGTTGTAGAACTCATCCCAACCTGCCCATAATTAAAAAGTGGCGTGGATCTGGCTGTGAAGTGTGTGTGGTTGGTGGCGGTGTCCATCCCACCAGATTTAACTTAATTACAGTGTTCTTTAGCTTATGTTAAAGCTTAGTTTAAATTCACAGAGAAGTACCAAATGTTGTGGGGCCCCATTTAGCCCAGAAATGCAGTGGGGTGGCCTGGTTAACCAGCTCGGCATTAAAAATTCAACAGAGGTAATAATACAAAGTACATAATTGAGAGTCAACCCTGCATTTCAGTGACGGGTTATATGCACATTTGTAGTTAGTTTCTTTGAAGAGAAAGAAAGAGTGTTTATTTGGTTTTTAAAAATGAAAGAAAAGACTAAGAATAGCATTTTATTAGCCTTTTCTTAGTATTTATATTACATTCTTGTCAAATTACTTACAGCTTGTTTACAGGTGGTTTGTTTAATTATTCAAACATGTGGTGAGCATCTCATGTGCTGGATAGCGTCCTGTGTGTGGCTGAAAGTAAAGAAGAATTTGTCCTTGGGCTTGAAAATGCTTTTGCCTACTGAAGGCTTCACTTATTTTAAAACTTGAATTTTGACTTAGTCATGGAATTGTATGGAAGACCTTAGATTCACCCATCCAAACTTAATTATAAAGTCTGTTACTCTGTATCAGTTAAAGGTAATGTAGCTTACTAATGCAGTTTCAAATACCCCTTCTCTCCCCCCAAAAATGTTAAAATTTCAGTTTTCATTAGCATGATATTTGGAATTTTTAAACCAAGAATTTATGTCCTTTCCAGGGAAATGATTTGATTCACCAGGATGAGAAGTCCCTCTTAGAAATAACCCAAATTTCTCTGTATTTCATCATCCTTATTTTCACAGGCATGATTGTAACACCTTAAATTCCAGGAAAATCTTCACTGCAGAGTCCAGCATCTCCAAAGAATGCTTAATCTGTCTCTTTAATAATTCTTGAACTGTGTGCTAAGAAGAACCATATTTTTCCTAGGCTGCAGTTTTTTAAACTATCTCTGTTGGCAAGTTGTACGTTAAGTAAGGTCTTAACTAAGGAAACTCTCCAGGCAGACATTCTTACTCTCCAGTCATGTTGTTTTCTCTTTGCTGCTATGGATTTTGTCCTCACTTAATCAAGTGCTTCTCTCCTGAATCTCATATTGCTATTAGAGTATCAGATCCCATTGGGCATCCTTACATATTATCACTATGATGAACACTGGTATTTTTTTTTTCCTATTGTATGATTGAATTGCAGGATATATGTAAAACATACAGGTTACTTCTTTGCTTATTGTCGCCTACTTAATATCTCTTTCTTTTTTCTTTTAGGTTGTTTGATGTATGCACAGTGTCACGGACAGACAGAGAAACCAAACTGACATTAGTGTTTGAACATGTTGATCAAGACTTGACCACTTACTTGGATAAAGTCCCGGAGCCTGGAGTGCCCACTGAAACCATAAAGGTACCAAGAATCATCATTCTGCTTGATTAAATAGTCACACTATTATAGACCATTAAGCAATCGCATTTCTTACATATGAAAATTGCCAGAGAGGCGCCTAGCTGGCTCAGTCAGTAGAGCATGTGACTCTTGATCTCAGGGTCGTGAGTTCAAGGCCCACGTTGGGTGTAGAGCTTACTTAAAATATTGACAGAATTAGAGCTTTTGGAACTCAGTATATAATTAAGTATATCAACTAAGTGAGATGTTCAAAGAATGAGATAAATTCAAATTCATTAATTTTAGGACTCAGTGAAAAAAACCTTTTTAGTTTTAATACATATTAAAACTACTGAAAAGTATCTATATGTACATTATCTGGCCCTAACTTTAGAAGGTATAGTGTCGTGAATACATCTCAGTCTTTTTCTGATCATTCACAGACTCTGAGGGACATAATTTGAAACTTCAGGCATAAGCATATTGCATATTATAATTGTATACTGACTCCAGGATGTAAATTATACTATGTAAATCTGAAATATGGTTCTTAGGCCCTTCTTTCTCCATTTTTTTTCTCATTCATGAAACACTTATAGGAAGCCACAGTACCCCACTATCCTAAACCCTTGGGATTCAGGGATGACTTAAGACTCCTTAGAGATCAGCAAGCTAGATGTGCTGGATTGACCAGAAGTCCTTTCTTCCTTTAAATCTAACGGAAAAACCTGCATAGGAAGTTTTGTTGGTCATACTTCTGTTCTGCTTAGTGGAACTTCCCAGTATATCTCTTAGATCAATGAGCATCGCATGCAGGTCTTCATGAAGACCCTTTCTTTCATTTATGTGTTTTAGGTGACTTAACTAAACAGACTCCTTACCTAATCATTCATTGTTTAGAAGTGGGTTCTAAAATTCAGCATCATTTTAGATAGGAGGTAATAGCTGGAAATACTTTATCTTGTCTTTTCGTGATAGCTAGGTGGCGTTTTTAGATACTGACACATTTAGAACTTGACATACTGAATGATTTATTCCTTTGGTTTTAGATTGATAAAGGGTTTATGTTCCCATCTGCCTTCCATAAAAGAGTATGATGCTCAGTAGTGCACTCATTTCTTCCTCAGCAGTTTCAGGGACTTGAAGGCCCTTGAAATGTAGGTATTCCTGCGGTGCCTGGGTGGCTCAGTCAGTTAAGTGCCTGATTCTTGATTTCAGCTCAGGTTATGATGTCAGGGTCATGAGATCAAGCCCCAAGTGGGCTCAGCACAGAGTCAGCTTGAGATGATCTCTCTCCCTCTGCCCCTACCCCCCCCCCCCCGGCTCACGTGCACATGCTCTCTAAATAAATGAATAAAATGTTTTTAAAAAAGTGAATGTAGGTATTCCTTCTTACCTGTTCTTGGCCCTCTTCTCCTCTATCCCTGCACCCCTCTTTCCTCTCACTTTCTAGTCCAGTGTGGCTTCAGTTCTCTCCTCTATGAGTTTGTCTGAAACCCCTTGTTCATCCTGCAGGGCATAGCCCCTTCTCATGGACTCTGTCTGCCAAATTAGACTCTTTGTGTGATTCATGATTTCCTACCTATGTGGTCCCCCTCCTCAGTGTCATTTCTTTGCCCCCCTCCACCAATAACTATCTGCTGAAATATGAGGCCCACTCCAGATAGCATTTGATCAGCTTTTATAGCTGGATGCAGTCTCATTGGTCTTACAGCGCTGGTTCTACACATCTCCCCCTCTTGGTCCTATTTTCTACCTTTAATTGTGATTATTTATGTCCATATTCATTCATCTTGGTATCCTGACATTCGGTATGCAATGATCTTTACACATAAGTACTCAATAAATTAGACACATTAACAACCTTTCTTCAGATATGATTATTTTAAAATTATTTTTAAATGACTTCCAACAGCTTAAATATATACTGTCAGAAACATCATCAGCTTCTTCGGATGTAGTTAGTTCTAAGTTCAAAATTATTTTGAGGGGAGGGTCATTTTTAAGCAGCAAGACAAGGTAACTATATATTTATGCCATACGTTACCACTTGCATAGATAACTTGAGCTGCACATTAAATTCTCCTGGCATTAGAGGCTGCTGGGTGGAATCATTTACAAAAGTATCTGTGTAGTTAAAATGGTTGATAAGCCAGAGTGATGCATTGTGCTAAAGTTTGATCAGGCAGGTGTAGAAACGAAGTGGGTTGGGGGGAATTCTTTCTTCTTTCTTTCTTTCTTTCTTTTTCTTTCTTTCTTTCTCTTTTTTTTTTTTTTGAGAGAGAGAGAGGATGTGGGTGTGGGGGGTGGGTGCAGAGTGAGAGGGAGAATCTTACGCAGGCTCTACGCCCCAGTGTGGAGCCCAATGCAGGGCTCAGTCTCTTGACCCTGAGATCATGACCTGAGCCAAAATCTAGAGTTGGATGCTTAACGGACTGAGCCACCCAAGCACCCCAGGTTGGGGGGAATTCTTGAGGGTGGGGGTGCCTGGGTGGCTCAGTCCATTAAGTATCTGCCTTTGGCTCAGGTCATGATCTTAGGGTCTTGGGATCGAGTTCTGCATAGAGCTCCCTGCCCAGTGGGAGTCTGCTTCTTTCTCCCTCTGCCTGCTTCTCCCCCTGCTTGTGCTTGCTCTTTCTTTCTCTCTCTCTCTCTGGCAAATAAATAAATAAATAAAATCTAAAAAAAAAAGTTGGTATTCAGGATAAACATCTGTTAGTTTCTGGTTAGTTGGGGTTCCGGTTAGTTGGGGTTCTGGTTAAATGAATTTTGTAAGGACTCAGCCAGAAAACAAATATTTTGTTTTTGTATAGGTTTATTTATAGGCAGTCTCAATAACCAGATAACTAGATCAAGAGAGTATTGTTATTATGAACAACCTATTGGGAGAACAATTGGATTCTTATATAGAATGTTTTGTGTAATAAGAGTTTTTCTGAGTATATTGGTACAAATATTTATTGAAAATTTACAGAGTTTTGTGCTTTGGGGAACATAAAGATGAATTAGTCAAGAAGCTTACTCTCAAGGACCTTAGAAAAGATAAAGTACACCCCGAAGCATGTGGTACACACTTTCTTATGGTTATTTCAATAGTTTAGGGAGTGTTTTCAGGTTAAAAAAAAAAAAAACACTTATGAATGAGCACAGTCTACAGCTGATTCTTTGTATTATGGTACCAAAATATTTTCTAAAATGTTCTTCAAAAACACAGATATTAGTACTGACATTGTCTTGGAAGTGTCAGAACATGCCATATTGTAAAATAATTATAAATATGCAAAAAATCTTAACATGAAATAGATATAAAACAGAAAAATCAAGAAAAGACCTCCTATGAGATCATTTAAGCTAAGGGAATTTTCCTCAATGCCCTGCCCTCCACCACGTTTTCTGGGGCGCTGTTTACCGGTTACCCACTTAAGTTCAGGATATTCTAGTGCCCGCTCAGGACATAAATTACAGGAGGTGAGCAGAACTTGGTTAAAACTGGAATGCTCCATGGTCTCTGAGTAGATATGACAGAGGTAAAATCTTTTTGTTTAGTATTTTCATCAACGTGTTTATTAGAAAAGAACCCAGGGGGCGCCTGGGTGGCTCAGTCGTTAAGCGTCTGCCTTTGGCTCAGGTCATGATCCTGGGGTCCTGGGATCGAGCCCTGCATCGGGCTCCCTGCTCCGCGGGAAGCCTGCTTCTCCCTCTCTCACTTCCCCTGCTTGTGTTCCCTCTCCCACTGTGTCTCTCTCTGTCCAATAAATAAATAAAATCTTAAAAAAAAGAACCCAGGATGGGCTTATTTGATCTGCTTGTTACATAGATCACGTAACAATTTTTCAAATTCTTTTAAATACCATTTGTTATTTTTTAAAAAATTAGAAAAGCACCCTGAAGCCCTAAGTATTTGTGAAGGTTGATGGTCGGGTGAACTCACTGGGAGAAGCCTGCGATTACTGCGTGGTATTCATGTCAGGCTTTGATAAAGTAAGTGTGAAGTATGGTATGGGCCTGAACGGGAAATTGCCATTGAGAGGCTCATGAGAATAAAATAAAATCACGGGTGGTTCCTTCCAACATTTTAAAATACACCTTACTCGGGCGCCTGGGTGGCTCAGTCGTTAAGCGTCTGCCTTCGGCTCAGGTCATGATCCCAGGGTCCTGGGATCGAGCCCCGCATCAGACTCCCTGCTCTGCGGGAAGCCTGCTTCTGCCTCTCCCACTCCCCCTGCTTGTGTTCCCTCTCTCGCTGTGTCTCTCTCTGTCAAATAAATAAATAAAATCTTTAAAAAAAAAATAAAATACACCTTACTCTAAAAATATAAATAAATAAACACATGTCTACATCTTTTTTTAAGATTTTTTTTTTTAAAGATTTTATTTATTTATTTGAGAGAGAGAGAATGAGAGAGAGCCCATGAGAGGGGGGAGGGTCAGAGGGAGAAGCAGACTCCCCGCCAAGCAGGGAGCCCGATGCGGGACTCGATCCCGGGACCCCGGGATCATGACCTGAGCCGAAGGCAGTCGCTTAACCAACTGAGCCACCCAGGCGCCCCACATGTCTACATCTAATGCATACTTCATCTCGAGGTCTTCGTCACCTCTTCTTAACATTGTAAGGCACATCCGTTGGTGTTGATAATGACATTTGTTTAGAGGAGCCTACTGACTGCTGTACTTGGAAGTCAGCAGATACTCACATTTTGCCTCATAGACTTATCTAGTATCTAGTTTTCCTCTTTCTAATTCAGAATGTTATCTTTCAGTTTACTTGATTATGGGCAAATTCAGTGCCATCTTTATTTTTCTTTGAGATGTGACATTGTCTTCTGGGACTTCCATGCTTTAACTTATGAGACAATAGGGGCACCTGCGTGGCTCAGTCGGTTAAGCGACTGCCTTCGGCTCAGGTCATGATCCTGGAGTCCCTGGATCGAGTCCCGCATCGGGCTCCCTGCTCGGCAGGGAGTCTGCTTCTCCCTCTGACCCTCCTCCCTCTCATGCTCTCTGTCTCTCATTGTCTCTCT